TCTAAGTCAACAAGTGAACCTTCCGGTAGAAGTTCAACACTTGGAAATTTAGATGTGGAAAGTGGCTGTTGGGGACGTTAGATCCCCAGAACTCACTTGGAAAAGGACCTAGTTTTGTAATTTTATTAGAAAATTTGAATTTCTTTGTTTTCGCGCCAAAAGCGCTCTTGTCACCTTCATGTGGTATTTCCCAATTCGGAAATAACTTAAATGCTATTGGTCCGTTACGTCTTTTGGTTTGCTATTTGGTAACTCTCCCTAAGGACTGTTTTGTGCTGTATATATACGTTTTGTTTTGTGTTTGTTGTGATCGCTTGTTTCTGGCTGTTTGCAGAATATAATTTCCCATTCCAAGCTTGGACTTCTTCCTCTAGTTAGCGGGGCTGAGACGCATCAGAATATCTAGCTTATTGGTCTTTGGTCACCGAGTCTTCCTTCTCGTTCGCAGACTAAGTGAACTCGTGATAGCTTCAAACGTAGTAGTGTCATCTCTAAAAGTTCGTCAACGACAAAGTGAAACAAGAAATGAGAGAGTGGACAGCCCTACTTCTACTTGTAGTTTGTACTGATTATGTTGTTCAGGAGAACAATAAAAGCTCCACGACTAAACCATTCAGATCAGAGAACAAAACTTCATCAAAATCATCCATCTGAGTTACAAATCTTCTCCACCATCTCAATATCTAACAGTTTATGACTATCTACTATATTATATGTGAAATAATTCCAACGTTTCGTTCAGCAAACTTGTTTGAACTTCTTCAGCGTAATGATAAAAATCAAAATTATCAAAGAAGTATATACTGTTTAACAATCAAATCTTTACTGTGCTTATCCAATCATATTCAGATGTTGACGTTAGTAACTAAAATATTATAAGTCATGTGAAAAGTTCACTATATGAAAATAAATAAATGAAGTGTGTGTGTGTGTGTGAATGTCTGTGTTAGTTTGAGTTATTAATATTAAATATTAGGTGCTAATTTGCTTTTATTAGAAGCAAATATAAAAGTGCAAATCGAAGGTTGAAATTGTTTGTGAATCGGCTATATGCATATAAAATAAGAACTATCAAGTATATAATTGTAATGCTAAAATATCCCAGATTAAATCCAGTCAAAATAACGATGCATGTGAAATAAATAAGTTGGATAAAGAAAGGGTCGATTTACTTGTTAATGAACATGTGTTACCATGTGGTAGCTAGTTGATTACCATCTGTTGTCACTGTTTCTATATTTGCATTCAAACCTGACTGAAGTGTTTTGATCCTATTGAAATTGATACAATGATCTGTTTTCAACGTCTGTAACATTATCGCCGACCTATTCTAAAGTTTCTTTAAATTAACCGACGTTTTGGAGACATTTTTCAAACACTGTTTGTTTATCTTCAATCTCACATTCAGTTGTCTGGAAATTTAGATGAGGAAAGTGTTATTTCTAAAAGCACGTCAACAGGAATGGAGAAAGTGGACGGCCCTGACGAACATCACTTGAGGTAGTCAGTTCTGATGACAGTTCGCCATAAGCTCTCACTCGACCAGTTGTGTTCGAGTAGAGAGCCTTTATAAGGTTAATGTACTTCTTTGGTACTCCTTTCAGTGACAAACACTGCAATAGAACCTCACGATCAACAGAGTCAAATGCCGCCTTAAGGTCGAGAAATACTACCATTGTGGGGCGTCTGAATGTGTGTCTATGTTCTAGGACCTGACGTAATGTGAATATTTGATCAATACAACCACGTCCAGGTCGAAAACCAGCCTGGTTTTCTCTAGTCTGCTCTTCACGAGCTTTGGTTAGACGTCGAAGTATTATTGAAGCTAATATTTTAGACACTATATTAGTCAAACTAATTCCTCTGTGATTGTCACAGGAGGACTTTTGTCCTTTCTTATAGACTGGCACAATCAGTGATTGAGACCAGTCAGATGGGATTACGTCCAGTTCCCAGATTCTACCTAAGACCTCAGTCAATCTCGCTGCTAATACTGGACCGCCATCCTTAAAAATCTCAGGGGTAAACCTGTCAGGGCCTGCTGCTCTCCCACGCTTCAGATTTCCTATAGCTTTTTCAACTTCGTAAAGAGTCGGAGGACTTACATCAACTTGCCATTCAGGTCGACTGGAGATCGTGGGAAACCGAAGTGTGGCTGAAGGCCAGTTGAACTGATCCCTAAAGTATTCTGCCCATCGATCCAATCTCCTGGATTGAGAATGAATAATACGTCCATCTTTCTCTGCGATTGTTTCGCTAACAGTTGGGTTCCTAATACCGGTTTCCTTAACAAGTCTGAACAGTTGCCTGCTGTTACCTATTGCCGCTGCCTTTTCCATCTCTCTTGCTTTCGCTACCCACCACTGTTCACGATCTTTGCGTAGGCTTCTAGTCAGCTTACGCTTAAGCTGACTCCGCTCTTCGTTATGTTCAGAGCCAGATGGAATGAGTTTTCGAGCATCTATCAGTGCGGTAGATGCTGCTGAGATCCAGTGTTTCTCCCTAACCTTATGGTTTACCGTACTTGCAGACATCACTGCTGTTTCTACAGCTTTTCGGATGTCATTCCACGCTGCCTCGGGGTGGGCGTCACTTACATGGCTGCCTAACTGTTTTTCTAGATGTTCCTGAAATATACTCTTAGCTTGACTATCATTAAGTAGGACCCTAAGGGGTTTCCTTGCAGCATGTTTCCTACGTCCAGTAAGACGTAGACAAATACGCGCTCGCACTAGAGCATGATCTGAGTCTAAGCATGTGCTCCAGAATGAGCGACAGTCTTCTATCGAGCCCCTCCATCGGTGGCTGATAGCGATGTGATCTATTTGGGTCCAGCGTTGAGACGAATTAGGGGGTCGCCATGTTAAAAGATGTTTTTCCTTATGCTTAAAGTTAGTGTTTGCAAGAAACAGGCGGTTATCTGAGCATAGCTGCAACAGACGGTCGCCGTTATCTGTTCTTTGAACCGCGACACCATAAGATCCACCCAGGTGTCTTTCCTTTTCGCTTAGTTTACCTACTTGAGCATTAAAGTCACCAGCCACTATTACTACATCTGAACGCCTAGCTTTTCGGAGAAGGTCGGAAAGCTTTCTGTAAAACTCATCTTTTACATCATCTGAGCTGCAGTCAGTGGGAGAGTAGGCAGAGACGACGAAGAGGCAACGACGAGTGTCCCTATCTTTTCGAGTCCTTACTGTTCCGTTTAGTCGGACAGCACACAAACGACTGTCTACTGGGATCCAGTCTAAGAGAGCTAGTTCTGCCCTAGGACTCAATGCTATACCTACGCCAGCGAGGCCACGGGAAGCAGCATCAGGGCTTCCAGATACACGAAGCGTAAATCGAGTTGGTTCGTTACTTTGACATGGTGCAGTCAAATGAATGACACTACTCGGATCCTGTGTGCGCGTTTCGGAGACGCAGCACACATCGATGGAGCGAGATTCTAAAGTCTTAGCTAAGGAAGCCTGTTGTCCTATTTGGCACAGTGTTCGGACGTTGAAAGCTCCTACGTGTAGTTTGGAGCGTGGTTTCAGGAGACCAGGAATAACATTCCGCGTACTCGAATCGTTCGCACTAGCGGGGCGAGGTGATAAAGGGACGTAAGAAGGGTTAGTCGTGGAGATAAGAGAGTTATTAGGAGGTGTAGGAAGGATTTGAATGTGACCAACTTGGTCTCGTGTGCTGTTACGGGTATGAGGGCTGATATCACTTCCCGGTTGCCCACACCGTGGAAGGGTATTTCTTGAGGACCTGAAAAGGAAATCGGATTAGTGTTGGTCTTAGCGACCTGAGTGCGTGACCGCAGAGCCCAAGGGACAACTGCTTGAGGCCGGTCGCGCACGGCCTTTTTGTGGGAGGTTTTTAATGTGTTAGCTCCGTTCTTCAAAGGGCCTTACCGCCGGAGACGGAAATCCGTGGGGTAAGGTGAGGTGTGACATTTTTAGGGTCAACCTTTTCTAACCCCTTCCTTCCTTGTGAGAAGGCAGCATCGCTGCAGATGCTGGTTGTCCGAGGGAAACACCTTACTGCTGTCACACCTCTGTACAGTCAGCAGTACGACTTCGCCCTCAGACCTTGAGTTGCTGCTTTTAGTCTTACCGTTCTCCAATCGACCTGCCTGGCATGGTAGAACCTGCAGGAACATGTGTTCCAGCCAATATAGCTCGGTTGGGTCATCACGATAGGCAAGCCCGACCACCGCGTCAAGGTAGCAGCTACGGTCGGGATTTAGACCATTTAGTTAGATTAACTAAGTCCATAAGGTCGAATTTACATGTTTTTTTTTTACAAAATACAGACATGGTAACTTATTTAGACCATTTATAAGTTACCATGTCTGTAATTTGTAAAAAACATGTAAATTCGACCTTATGGACTTAGTTAATCTAACTTGTTTAATCATTATCAAGATCGAAATAGATTTTTAAAGCTCAAGATTGTCTTTGATCAGAGTATTTTATCACTAAGGTGTGTTAGTGATAGTACCAAAATATTCTGTAGGCAATATGGATGAATAATCCGAAAGGTGCTATATTAAATCCGATTAGTTCAATCATATACTGTTACTGAGTCAAGTTTAGCCTTAGGATGAGAATTTATTTTACCTTCATATACAATGTATATAGAAACAATCGGGCACTTGTTATTCTAAACATTACCATTTTCACTCTACGATGGTCAAGAAATAATATTTAAATATCATTTTAAACGTTCAGATCACTACTCTATAAAAGTATTTCTACAGCTCATTTTACATGATATATATATATATATATATATATATATATATATATATATATATATATATATATATATATATATATATATATATAATTGAAAACCTAAACATTGTTTTCCCGATTCTGAACAAGACATCCCTGTATATCACCTACTCTTTTGTTGCTACCCACATTTTGCATATATATATATATATATATATATATATATATATATATATATAAAGAAAACAGGACAATCAATTGAAAACGACAAGAAGAAAAAACCAAACGGAACAACTTTATTCTTCATATGTTTTTTTAGAGGAAAAAAACAATGTCAACTTTAAGAAAACGAAATGAAATCATCAATTTGTCTTTGGAATATTATGATTATCGTAGTTAAGCCTTAAACAAACAATAAATGATATCACCACGTCAACATATACAAAATAGCAACAAGTAAGCTAGTCTCGAATTGTAAACAGGATAGATAGATAGATAGAGTGCAAAAGTTAGACAAAAGCGAAAAATGCAGATATAATTTCAGAATTTTCTTTTTTTTCTCCCTAATTATGATAAGTACATTCATTTGACCATTATCATTATTGTCACAATCAATATATACAACGGTCATTGAAAGAAAGAAAAAACGGAAGAGAGTTAATAATTATGCTTAAAGTAAGTAAGTAAAGTAATTAAGTATGTAAGTAAGTAAGTGAAGTAATTAAGTATGTAAGTAAGTAAGTAAGTAAGTGAGTATGCAAGTAAGTAAGTAAGTAAGTAAGTAAGTAAGTAAGTAAGTAAGTAAGTAAGTAAGTAAGTAAGTAAGTAAGTAAGTAAATGAGTACTATAAGGTATTCAACTCACAGAAATAAACATTGTCTTGTTATATATAATCAATTATAAAGTAAATCATTTTATTCAATTATTATAGATAAGCACAAATGAAAGAAAAATCATATGAATAAACTATAATTACGAAAAAAAAGAAACAACTTACATAAATAATAACAAATGAAAAAGTAAATAGAAAAATCTAGAAATCTAAACTGAAAAAAGCAAACGATGATAATGACAACGATCATGATAATGTTTATGACATGAAAATGAATGAATCAACAATTACTGAAGAAAGTGATTTAAAGATGACAAATGAACAACAAAAAAAAGGAAGAAGAAGAAGAAGAACATAAAAGATGATTTATAAATAAACAAAGATATATATATATAACCTCTAGTGATAATTGAAATCGATTTTTTATGATTATTTTCGTTGTTATAAAAGTAATAGTAGAAAATAACTGAATACATATATATTTCATTTAATTATTATGATCTTCTGATTGTGAATGATTATTAGAATTATTCTCGGATAATGAACTAATTATAGATTGTGTACTCATATAATTAGCTACACTATGCCTTTTTTGTAAATGTAATAAAACTGGTGCAACAAATTGGTCATTAGTATCAATTCTTACCGGATATGAATGTCTAATTATATCATTTCTATTAAATACTTGTAAAGAACATGTAGGAGGAGTAACAGGAGGTGATGGAGGTAATATTAATGGTGATGGAGGAACAGAACGGATCAAATTTTTAGGTTGTGATTTATCTATTGTTAATGGTTGAGCAAATTGATTCGGATCACTGTTATTTCTATGCATAGGAAAAGTAGCATCGACTGCTGGTTTTCGATCACCAAGCTGACAAGATAAATGAAAATAAATAACGTAGATAAAATAATAAATCTGAACTTGTATTTATTAACTATTGCGTTAAAGTGTTAGTGGATTACAACACAATAAGAATTCTATGCATTTTCATCGGGCTTTAAATGAATAATTTTCACAAACACATCTAACCTTAATATAGATAATATTATACTTCGATTATTTCTTTGAAACAGTTTGAACTAGCTTATTACAATCAATGGAGAGCCTGACATAATACGTTTTAGCACGACGAAATACAATCAGAAAGATGTATAGTAAAAGAGTTTAAATAATGTAGTAGGAAAAACTAAACATTAAGAAGATAGCTTAAAAAAACAGAATGAAGGTTTATGTATGTAGGAATGTTTGGACACAGGATCTTGTTTGCGATTAGAAATGAAACCATCAGTGCTATTGTGACCGTTTATATAGCGCGAACCCCCATCAGGTAGTCTGCATCTATCAGCAAAGTTCAGACTAACAGTCAGTGATTTCATGATTCGGTCACAAACAAACTTCCCCGCAACTAACTTCTATGCTTGTTAACATCTCCTGTCAATATGTAACTGATGTAGTAGGACGAATAATGTGGAGACATAACTTTGGAAACTATCATACGAAGGATTATTATTTAAGATATTATTATATTTTTCGTAGACGCTTACAATGTTGTATTTTTTATTCTGCAATTTCTAAGCTTTCATTTGACCCACAAATCGTCGTCAAGTCTTATTATTCGAGATTTATCATTAATTAATTATTGCCCAATAATTCTGATTTTATATCACTTATGATCGATTTATGTACACGATGTAACACTAAAATTGTCTCGTTGTGTGGTCAGGGATTTCAGATATATTATTCTATAAGTTTTGAATTACGACTGAACTAAGTAAAACAGAAAACTGATCTGCTTTTTAGCTTCATCAATTGATTGAGCACTGGGTTGAAAGGAGATCGAAGACCGATAAGCATTAAGGTCTTGGTTATTATTGATTGGTCAATATGTCAATTGGTACTTAGATGGTTACCGATCCTACTGGTAATATGGTTGAATTAAGTGATTATTGGACTAAAAGCAGATAGATAATGAAACTTGTTTGCTGTCGTTACGGTTTAATCACACGAGACCCAATACCACCCACACAAGAAATTTTTTTACCAACACCAGTATCAAAAACCCCTCAGTTAATGAAGATTTACAGATTCATCAACTGATTTGCTATATTTATTTACTACTCTATGGTTATTTATATAAATGACAAACTCATCATGAATTATAAACAGAGGCTTCTTACTATCAATTATGGAATGAAATTATGCAGTAGAAATACATTTTCTCAATGTAAAATAAGTCAATTAGTATAATCCTATCAGACAAGCAATAATGATACAATATCATCATTTAAATGAAGGGATTAATCAAAACATAAGATGACCCGTGATGTCAACTAATCGATACGATGAGTATTGTTGCTATGCTTTGGCGGCCTGCCTGAACATCTGGGTTACCTGATCCTGACATCTAGATATTTCAACAATTTATCTAAGTTGGTATGCTTTAATGAATCATAAGCTATTCAGATGCGTTTATGAAGTTTTACTACATTTCTCTGTACAAGTTACAAAAGGTCCAATCAGAGATATCATGGTTGCTGGCAATATGCAGGGAAAAGAATGTACATTATTTAGATGTCGAGTGACACTATTTTACAAACAGGTTTACTTTGCAGTGCTCATTAGTTGAATTTAGATAATTATGACTTAAAAACTGATATTATAAAGTGTCGGAAAACCTGGAAGCACCGAACGACCGTTTCCACCGAGTATGGGACTCCTCCAACATATACATGCACGACATTGAAACTGGGAATTTAACTCAGAACCATCGGTATTGGGTGAGAACATTTAATCTCTAGACACTGAGCTAGGACCCTACAATGTAGAAGTCTAACATCTAAGGTCCTGGGGTTGAACTACCGCTTTCAGTGTCATGCATGAATACTTTTGAAGAGTCCTATACTAGGGTAAACGGTTGTCAAGTGCTCCGAGATTTCCAATGAACTCATAACTTAGATAGGATCGTGATTTCAAAGAAATTTATCAATCAAATTTTAAAGCTGAAAGAAAATAAAAAAATAACAACAAATCTATTAATTAAAAAAAATACACTTACTGCATTGGTTATTTCGTTCAAATGTGATCCTCCACGTTGAACACTGATTGAACTATTATACTGACTATGCTGATCAACGAATTCATCTTCAGTGGTAGAGACTAAATGTGCATTTCTAAATAGAAGTTTACGTGCTGAACTACTACCAGCCATTATCCACCCAGTAACAATCGTGAAAATCATTAATATTGCAGAGAATATTAAACCCAATAATGAACAAATTACTAAAGCATGACTAACAGTATTGGCACGTAAAACAATAAACATGAATATATTTAATTGTAATAAAAACACAGAAGCTAACATACAACTGATTGCAAGCCAATGAATGTGTGAATCAATACGGCTAGGCAAATAGGCATAGTAGAGATTATAACGTTCTACGAAATATTTAAATATTAGATAGATAAGACCTAGAAATGAATATAAGAAAGCAAATTAGATAAAGAATAGAAACATTTAAAAAGAAACATAAAATTACACCGAAGTACTAATCGATCTCTATTAGACAAAATAATCGTTCATTCTATAGCGTCATGTAATCTCGTCTACCACCTTTTTCACTAATTTACTCAGTATGCAGAGTCACTAAATAATGCACAGGAGAGGAGGCATAAAGACAAAATGCAAGTAACGTGATTAAGGCACAGAATTTGGTGTTTCATGATTGAAAATGGTGTTAATTCTTCATATATATTCTGACCCTAAACACACTACTAGATGTTAGTAAGTTCAAAGAGGAATGGAAAGTGTTCATTGAAACTGTTATCAACCCAGATTTATACAACCAATATTTTATACCAACACTAATTTGAGGATGGCAACAAAATTATGCCAAATTAGTGGAAAGTGTTACGGCTTTTTATATACATCTAAATCCAACAAAGCATACTAAGCGATGAAATTGAGAAAACCTGCAAAACACGTTCAAAGATTTTGCCATAAGTTTAATGAATACTGACTAAAAATGGTTCAATTGCACAAATAATGTGTGTAAACAATAACTTTGTTAAGAAAATTACGAAATATATCATTACAAAAACAACTACTAACATTGCTAATAACCAAACTTAATTTCAAAACTATACCAAACGATACAATGACAATGTCATTTATTATGCAATGTATAAATTATGGACATGTTAGTCACTTACCAAATGGTGTAATCAATGGACATACAATACTATATGCAGAGACAACAGCGAAAACGCATAAACTCCATGCATAAAACAGTCCAAACTCAAATTCAAATTGACTAGCCTATTAACAAAGAAAGATTCTTCAATAATTATTGATCCAAGATAATGAAAAAATGGTTATAAAATAGTTACCCACTAATAGCATTGGGAGAGGGTTGCGCAATATCGTGAACTAATTGAAGATGGAAATATAAAGAATAGGATGGCGACTGAGTTGTCCGAAGGTTAAGACCTCGATATAGATACGCACTATAGAACACTCCTAAATTAAAATGAAACAGACCACTAGCACTCCCTACTTTCCAGCAGTTGTCTAACGTCAATCCGTGATGTAAATTATCACATCTTTGAAAATTTACTCCAAAAAAGCAGGTGACAGTATGGTGTGTGCTACTTATGTAGACATAAGTAGTATATGACGTGAGCACTGAACAGAATGTCTGGCGGCAGAGGGATAAGAAGATCGAACAATAAAGAATGAAGACAGAAGGCAATTTGTATGAAAATGCAAGAACAAGGGGATTCTGAGTGATTTGAGACAATTGATGAACAATTTGCAAATTAACGATTCAATATATGGTTGTTTGATTTTACTAACTAGCTCTGTAATTGGTTGTTAAATACACTGGATTATCCCCACTGGTGTTTTATTCACTACAACAGAACACATTTAGAAAATGACTATCGAATTATATGAAAATAGTCAAGTAATCGTTTTCATTAAAATGACAGAATTAAAGAAGTTGTAAACAGAAGAAATAAATGAAAACCTAATAGAAATTTTACCTTTCGTACACCAGCTTTTTCAGCTTGTGATTTAACACACATAAGACGGCAAGCATAAATAAATAATTCAGAAAATCGAACAAGTTCTAATGATGTTCCAATAAATGCTGCAGTAATTACATAATTGACAAAGAAAGCACCATTATCTGGCATAAAAACACATTCCCACTGAAATGACTGTGGTCCTATTGGAATAAATGGACTCGATGAAGATGATGTAAATGTACTTGAATTATTATTAGTAGCATTATTATTATTAATACTAGTAGTATTATCGATGCTTGAAATATTAATAATTTTTGAACCATTATGTGCTGGGACAAGTGGTATGATATGCATTTCCGGGAAAAGCCACTGAAGTAGAGCAGGTATTCTAGAAATATATACATACGCATTATTATTATTATTATTATTATTATTATTATTATTATTATTATTATTATTATTATTATTATTATTATTATTATTATTATTACAGATAGTTTGAAAAATCACAAAAAATATTACTGTCAACTTTACGAAAATAGTTCATAATGTATAGATAAATTTTGAACAGGTTGTTTATTTATACACATATTTATTTATATACATAAATACATCAGGGCAGCAGATGTAGAATGGACCACACACATACAGACTTAGAATAGCAAATGATAGGGTACGGCTATGATTTTACAGACTCTGTTAGGACGTTTTATTCACTGATTTCACGTAGTGGAATTGCTGTTTAAGGAAAAAACAAGGCGAAAAGTGAATGTCCAACACTTTATCCGAGACGATAGATATGAAAGATTCAACTTAGGGGGATTGGAAAACCTTGATTTTAAACCAAAATTCCACACGGACTTTATTAGTGTATGAACCTATTTTTGAATACCAGCTACGTTGCTTCATTCTCTTGTGGATTAGACCTTAGTACATCTAAGGCTCGAAGAGCGGCCTCTTATGAAAACCACGTGATTCTGTGTAGGTGCCTGGGAAGTATTTCAGATTACATACACATTTTATGACGACTAACATCAGAGAAAATGAATAACTTCTATTAATATTCAAGACAGTAAGATTTAACTAGACACAATTTGTGTACCAGACAATGTTTGTTACTTAATAAACAAACATGAATTATACAAAGACAAAGCAACAGAGAATAAATTTTAAGACGTTAGGAACTCAATTTTCAACTCATTTGTATATTACAAATATACCATTATTTTGTTATAATAAATAGTCCACCTAATACTCAATTTATTTGAAATTGTCAAGTCAAACCCTATTAATCATACTCAAAAACATACCAAAAGAAATAAAGCTAGGTTACTTTATAAGTCCTTACTATTGATCTAACAATCAATGGTGATTGGCATCATATTTGTCTAGTCATTTAATGGTGATCCAATTCTATAAAACAAGTTGTAATGAGGCTACTAGTTTCTAAGTGACTAGACATTGGGTGTTCTATGCTGTGATGTTAGTTGATTGGAAGTAGTTGATAGGACGCCTTGGACTTTGGTTTTACTCTATTTGACAGGCGTTAGGAAGGGATGCCTGTAATTTTGAGGGAACTGGTGCCCTTTATTGGATGATATCTAGCTTCATAGTCTTAGGCATTACAAATGAGTTATTCGGGCCTAATTCTATCTACTACCACTGACACTTACTGTTCTTATCACTCAGGTATTCACGTTGACAATTTTACCTCACTGTGCTGTCGTATGGTAAACTCAAACCGATGCACAAATGTGAAATGATTCTACGTTGCTCATAACTGAATAACTAATGATCTAAATGAAACAAATAACATTGGCTAACAAAAAGTAGAGATGAACACTTTTTTAATTTAGTGAAAACGAAAACTTGAGTTCATATTTAAAAATAATAGTTTGAATATAGATATATTTCCACTCCGTTAGCCTTTATATACTTATAACATTGTGGAAGCTATTCCACCCAAAACATAACTAACTCTATAAGCTTCTAATATCATACAAAATTGAATAAAATCATTTCAAAAGAAAAGACTTACGATGTAAGGCCAAGTGATGGAAGTACTAAAATCATTAGAATTAATAGAGTGTATGTTTTAATCATTACAGTTAAATGTAGAACAGATTTAGTCCAATGACCAACAAGTCGATCTGAATTGAATACAATGTAAGGTAATAAAGCAGACACTGACCAAAGAATAATAGATGGGAAAAATTGAATCAATAGTGGATTCTATTGGATGAGAAGTATAGAAAACAAAAATGTTAATATATATTTTTACATTACGGACTGATTTTAGTAGGACAACTATTAAAAACTGAACAGCTACTTTGTTCTAGTAAGAGATTCTTCAAGAATACACGTGAACGACACCACATGAAGATCCTAGGTTTGATCCTCAGTAGGTTTGTGGATGTGCATTGATGAAGAGCTTCATACAATGACACAAAACAACTGTCCAATGCTTCCTGATACCCACTAGGTATTCAACTGAGGTTAGTTCGTGATATAAACTTTTGAATGATACCAATCTGACGCCATGATGAACAATTTTCGGTTTTCCTTATAATGTTTGCCGCTTTTAAATTAATCAGTTGGTTGTATATTTTATTACATAATATCTCATTTCATTTCATTTTGACGATACGACTTTGTGTGGTTTCAATCATTTTGTTAGCAAAAACTTCCAAATGTATCTTACCATCTTCATTCGATAAATTAATTTTAGTCACTTTTAGTCAGACATTTAAATATAACTTTACAGGTTTGTAAATTATACACATTCAATGAAAAAGAATAGACTGGAGTTCCAGCGAATGATATTTTTTTGTGAAGGATCTTGAAAATGAGATTCACCTAGATAGCACTCATTAACGTGAGCATGACAATAAAACTAATTCGAGCCGACTGTATAGGATCGTTAATCTATTACATTTTTAGCATCAACCCCATAGTTTTTTTTATCCCAGAAATGTGTGCAGTAAAAGATGTATAATGTTTTAAAGAGCAGCTTGACTTCTCACATAAATCTGAAGTGAGCTGTCAATGTAGATATGCTGACTAACTGAGAACATATTTTAATTTCCCCACATTCTGGTGATAAACAGCATTCGAACTTGAAACGTGCTACTCTTGGTATTTTTGCTTTTACTGATCTACTTGGAAAATATAGTAGGTATTCAATGAATAATGGTTTCAGTCAACATAGCTAGATTAGATCATCATGATAGTTAAACTTGATTACTGGATTAAAATAGAATTTATATTTGGATCACACAGCCTAACCAAATTAATAGTATTTTTAATACTCATTAATTGAATAGAACAACGTATGATATGGTAATTCACAAAGTAATGAAAAACCTATGAACTCATCATTTAGCTAAGACGACAACCGTGTATGGGTGAAATAAGTAGACGAATTGTTAAGAACCACAGTACTAAATTCTTATTCTATAAAAAAAATACGGAAGGGAATACAAAAATCATACTGTCATCACTTCTAACAAATCAATCAAAATTTAAAACAGATTAACCAACACAAGGGCGAGATTGAGTGAACAACCAAGTAATATTGTAGTGTATGCTACATAAGTTGACAGATATAGGTAGTATGTAACACCAATCAGAAATGGAATGGATGGCAGCAGGAGATTGAGAAGGTCGAATTGTAGACAACACGAATATAAACCGAGAAAAATTGTAATAACAACAAGAATGAAGGAACGATGAAGTTTTTAATAGACAACTGGTGGAAGATGTGCAAATGGAGTATTTAATGTATGGTTTTCATATTTTGTGAAGACACTGCAATTTCGCATTAAACAATAAACTGGTTTTCCCCATCAAATCCTCCTTTACTAAAATATCACCAGTCACTATGATGTGTCAATTTACGAGATTCATGAATGGTATCATCATAATAGATATATACCAAAGTATAAAATAAACTCTATGTCGGCATCAAATTCCAGGAACACTTAAGTAGTAATTTAATTTTGCTCGTGTAGTGAAAAGCGTCTATGATAATGATAGTATAAAAGAAAGGAAACTTACATTAATTTGTAGACGTTCAGTTAAATGCAATGTATTAACTAAATTCAATACATATGTAGGAGTAGTAAGAAAAAACACCACGAAGAAAACACACAAGTTAATAAAAATTGCTCGACACCACCATACAGTTCTCGTAGCTGCTAGATTTGCCCTGAAATACAAAATAGCAATTACAATAAAGTTAGTAAATGGGATCGATATTATTGTTGAGTTTCACCCAGTATTTCACGAACTAACTCTACTTAGACTACCGTTAAAAACTAAGCAGATGTTCTATCTTATCAAGGGACTCTTTTTCAGTGTGCATTGACAAACTCGTCTGGTGTTTCTAATTTTAGTTAGTTTGTGATATTGCAAAACCATATTTCAGTATGATTGGCGGATGACTGTCAAACACGACGAGGTTGAAGTCCGATTATCACCACTTTTCACTAGAACTCTGAAAAATGGTTACCTAGCTAATGTTTGTCCGTGATGTAGGCTATAAAACGATAACATAATTTTTTTTACAAGAACTGAAAAACTATTAGTGACATCTTACTGAGTAAGCTGATTTAATAATAACTGTTGATCTTTTTAATAAAAACTACTGAAGACTGTAAGCGAAGTTGATTTTAAGGTGTTAAATTTTCTCAACCATTAAGATGACTAAGTTGGAGCGCCTTTTAATTTGTGATACAATTGTTCATGACGTCCCGTTCTCATTACATATTTAGTCGAGTCATCTCAGTAATTTTCAACTGCATTACTTAATGAGACACTAAAATGGATATTAAAAAAACTGTGGCTAATATATAAAGTATATGATTGAAGTATCAACGGTGCATGACTTGATTATGAACTGAGCAGGACTACATTTCAAATGAACTTGGACACCTATCAAATAAAGTGTCATATATTAGCCTGAATTGAATTTATGTTTCTAAAATTTTTCGTTTGTTATGCCAAAGGTTACATCTGTGAGACACACATAGTTAGGAAAATAATTATTTCCCAAAAATGTAAACTACAACTGTCAAAAAATGTTTTTTTTTAAGTAAATGACAGTTTGAATTTGTATATAGCGCGCGCAGAATTAAATGAAGTTCTGAATTATTGAACCACAAGAATGCAGTTAAAAACTACATTAATACCAACATCTACTTCCCAATGTTATAGTTGGTTAAAATGGGAATAAACTTGAGGCTCTATTCTGTCTTCTCGATTGGTTGTGACTGAATCAAGACTGATTTGCAGATTAGGATACATCAATTGAAGGGTATTTGCTTCGCATTCACTCGATAAGTCGATATTTAGCCTCAAATAGGTCATAAAACGCGTTATTCGATCCTTATGATTGGAGCCTATCGAATTTAGATTTCAAATGAAAGCATTATTCAAGTTCCAACCACGTAGATACTCCATAAGATTTTCGAACCATTTCTTAATAATTGACTCGTGAATCTAAAATCTACAGGATCTGCAGTAGTCTTGGTAGTGATCTATAATTTGACTTATTAGAACAAGTATAAATCATATCCTATCATAATGCAATTAAAAGTCTGTTTGCTAGTATTATCAATTCGATGACTGAAATTCTAGTGGCTAGTCTTGAACAACACTGTATATGTGCGAGTAATTAATGATAAAAAGTTAGTACTCGTAATGGAATGCATGAAATTGATCTCAAACTTTTATATCAATGATTGGAAATTAGTGTTTTTAACAATTAAAACACGCATATTTAGGTGGCATAACTAACTTCGAGCAAAGTAATCAATAAAACAAATATACCTAACATTTAGCTCAATATACAGTTCACCAATGATTAAGTTGAGAGCCGACAAGAACTCCTCGGAACTTTTCAAAAGCTACGAAAAGGTTTAAAAAAATTTATCGGTGAGACTATAATTTATGGACGACCTATGAGTGACGCTAAACTGACCTTGTGAGTCCTCACCTAATAACTAAGGCCAAATGAGTATTTTAGAGCAGTGTGAGGAATTAGAATTACGGTTTACGGTTGATGGTTAGAGTTAGGAATTACATCTAGGGTTTTCATCACAAACTGACATCAGCTATAATGCTAAAACTGTAATTAGCCAAATAGATGGGTGGATTTCGCGCCGAAATCCGAGACCTGTTATCTTATACCGGATTGGTCCGTCCATAAATTATAGTCTCGCCATTTTATCCAATCAGAGTTCAATAAACAGGTAAGAGGGGGAAAGTTCTAGAAAAATCATGAATTGTACGTCATATCCTGATTGAACCACTGCCGTCTTTGAGACTAATGTCAACATATTTTTAGAAGCTTGTATGAGTTCAAGTCACGCATATATAAACGCCCTAAATATCCTTGTTATTTGTGCCTAGACTAACCTAAGAAACAAGACTTCTCCTACATTTCACTTATTTGATATTGAACTGTAGTAGATTTTTAAGGAACTAGGAATTGGTTCGAAGTTATAGTTAAGTGCCCGAGTATCAGATGTGTTATATGCAAAAAATAGTTGTATAATTGTCTCGATCTATGCGTTTTGTTTGCTTCACTAATCAACTTTATTCAAAGTAAACTATAGTAATTCTAAACAGTTAATTAACAAGACATTCGATACATACAAAGCATAAAACACAAACGATATATTTTAATGATGAAAGCATATTTTTTGAAAGAAAAAAAGAGGGTAATTATACGCATGAAAAATATGAGTTAGTTAGGCACAACTTAATCAAATCAACATTGTAATCGCATCGAGATGAAAAAGATTTGATGTATTATGGACAGAATATATTATGCCAGAGGCTAAATTACAAAATCCCTGTATTAATCGTATTTTCGTAAAAAAAAAACAGACAAACAAACAAGGAAGCGGAGCATGTGAAAATAATATTCAAAACAATGAATGGAATTGCATGTATGCTGAGTTATGATTGTAGTTTTGTTGATTTATTAAATACAAATAAACCATGAATATTAGTGTGGGGGGAGGTTATGGACGTTGTAGAATTTTCATAGTTTAAACAAGGAATTGATCTTAGCTAGATTACTATCAAATATCTGGAAACACCAATTAGACGTTTCTTAATAGTTCGGAATTCTTCAACAGTTCGCGTTCATAACTCCGCATCCGGGAATTGAATCCAGACACTTCGGCTTAGTGTGCTGGAAGTCAAATGTTCACCCTCAATTCCCAGATGCAGGTTTGTGAGTGTGCACTATTGAATCCCAAATTAAAATAAAACGACCGTCCAGTGCTTCCAGGTTTATAATAGTGATCTGGCTAAGATTACTTCATGATTTAAATTAAGAAAATAAACACTGAGAACATGGTTTATTAATTACAATATATATGAAGCATGGCATTTTATTCGTTAATTTAATTTAATTTTCAACTGTTAGTTGTAGATTGTCAATTGTTGCTTCATCTAAGTTGATTCATAACAATTGTGCTCACAAAAAAAATGTTGGTAATTGGGAAACACATAGAACAACATTTGAGATATTGACTATTTAACCGACTACTCAATCCTCAGCGAAAACATAGATTTGCTTTTGAAACTAATAGTAAATAGACAGAAAACGAAGGATATTATCGAAGTTTACAAATGAGTTTGCGACCACGAAATCCTTTAAAAAAGACACTAGGATTGGTAGAAATAATTTAGTTTTTAGACATTCAATTTGTGGTTAAGTAACTGAAATATAAAAGGATTCACTTGAATGGTAATTTCAAGACATTCGTTAGAATACTTATGAATATCATTATCAGAACGGTAATGAGCTGGAAGCAGCAGCTGCATCTGGTAATTACCGGAAGCTCTTCCAACTCATACGCGCCACTGGCAGCAAGAAGTCTGGTGTGAGCGAAACAATCTGCGAAGATGACAGAACGCCAATCACTAACATCCATCGACGTCTTGGACGATCAGTCAGTCAGTCAGCTGCAACGTAGGACCAGGCACGTATATGCATCGGTCCAAGTTGCCATACCGCATTAGCACAACAAGATGAACACCGGATTCATAGAAGTAGTTAATCCAGTGGTGGTAATATATAGAAGAAAGATTGCATATAAGGAGATAGTACAGGAAGATAGAATTAGTTCGTAGAAAGAAAGATATGAAGTGATTTTAATCTCTTAGTTTAAAGGAAGACAGAGAGTGTATACGCCGACGCCATTGTGATCGATTCTGAGCCATGTCACCAAGAGTCTCCGACCATTGGTTACGATAGTCACGCGGACCCCAACCAGGCAGTCTGCATCTACCAACATGGCTCAGACCAGAAGTTAGTGACTTCAAGCACTGATGCCACGTTTTGGTTTGTCCGCCCCTAACTTTCTTCCAGTCATCCCTAACACCGGTTACCATTGCGCGTCGTGGTAATCGGTGTTCAGGCATACGCAGCACGTGGCCTAACCATCTTAGTCGATGAAGGTTCATAACCTCATCAACTGATTTACCATCATTCCCTAATACCCTGCGTTTAACCTCACTATTACTTACCCGGTGATCCCAGCAGATACCAGCAATATTTCTAAGGCATCTGTGGTCAAATACTAGTAACTTACGAATATCTTCTACTCTTAAAGGCCAAGTTTCGCAGCCGTATAGTAGAACGGAACGATGGGCAGAATTCTTCGAAGGGCAGTTCAACTGGCCTGCTGCTCTGGCAACATCGGTCAGACTGTCCTTCCCTCCATGGCCGGTGACGACTGATCCACCAAATGAGGCGGAAGTCCGCAAGGAACTCCAACTCTTGAAGCGTTACAAATCACCGGGTCCAGACGACTTACCTCCGGCTCTTTTTAAAGAGCCAGTCGAGGATGTATTGATCATATCTTCACCCTCCGCAAAATGTTAGAACACCGCCATACTTATCAAAGGCCAACAATCGTAGTGTTTCTTGATATCAGGGCTGCCTTCGATTCGTTGGACAGAACTGTTCTCTAGGATTGTCTATTAAAGAAGGGTGTGCCTGAGAAGTTTATTAACATCCTGAAAGCATTATACACAAACACCTCAGGCAGAGTGAGGGCATACAACCACCTTTCTCCATTGTTCCATTCAAGGAGTGGGGTTAGACAGGGTTGCCCAATCTCACCATTCCTCTTCAACTTTGTCATCGATGACATTCTGGAAACAGCTCTGACGGATGTAAGTAATGGTGGTGTGGATCTGTTGTCTGGAGAAAAACTTCTCGACCTTGAGTATGTGGATGATATTGTCTTACTGTGTGACAATGCCCATGCCATGTAATCCGCACTTAATCAGTTGGCAATCAATATCCGTAGGTATGGTATGTGCTTGTACCTTCGAAGTGCAAAGTACTCCTACAAGACTGGCAGGATTCTAATCCTGCACTCACTCGGGATGGTGAGCAGATAGAAGTAGTCGAGAAGTTCGTGTATCTAGGTAGCTGCATAAGTGCTGGTGGTGGCGTGAGTGATGAGATCAATGCACGTATAGTGTAAGCCAGAGCGGCTCATGCCAATCTGGGCCATCTTTGGCGCCTTCGTGATGCTAGTCTGTCTGTAAAAGGTCGGATCTACAACGCGTTGGTGAGAGCAGTTTTGCTCTATGCTTGTGAAACCTGGTCTCTCCGAGTTGAGGATGTTAGACGACTCTCTGTGTTCGATCATCGTTGTCTCCGAAGGATTGCTGACATTCAGTGGCAACACCATGTTAGTAATGCATAGGTTCGGCATCGTGTGTTCGGACACAGACGATAATTCCATTGGTGTCACCATCTTGAAACACCGACTTCGGTGGCTTGGACATGTTCTACGAATGTCGTCCCAGAGAATTCCTCGTCGTGCATTATTTGCCGACTCTTGGACTGGTTGGAAAAAGCGGAGAGGTGGTCAGTATATGACATGGTGTCGTGGTATGAAAGAAAGCTGCGAAGGGCTAGCTTCTGTTGGTCCTTCACGACTCCCTGGCTGGGGTCCGAGAGATGGTGTAACACAGGGGCTGGAGACGTTATCAGATATGGCTCAGAATAGAAGCCAGTGGTGATCCTGCTGTAGCCTTCTTTTACTTTCTTCATAAAAAGTGGTTGCAACTTCCTTAACTGAAAGATTTCTTCTAATCGTACCTTTCCGTTTCCCCCATTATTGTTCTCTCTCTTTTTTTCTCCTTTCTCTTCAAATTATCATTGTTTTGTGTGGCGCATATATATTTGGTGCCCCCTTGTACCAATATTTATGTGTTCAAATAAATAAATAAATCGTCATTCATCTGAAAAATAGCTCAATTCAGTAAAAACCTGAGAAAAGTATTACTAGAGAAAGTTATGAAGATGTGAGAAATTACTAAGCCCTCAATCGGCAAATACAACAGGATGATATCAACATACAACTATTATTATTGTTTAGTAACTCATCAATGCAAACACCTCGGGTTTCAGCAGGTCAGTTGCAAGCAGGATAACTCAATGACTATAAACTAACTCATCGGGGTCAAGCGATTTTTTCCACCTCAATGGAGAGCATTAAAACCTTGAAACTTACTTCTTGACGATGAGTTGTGATTGAATGTCAATTACCTTGAAATAATTAACATTAAAAAAAGTCAGGGTGATTTCGAATTACTTAATCTACTGGTCATTTTGTAATTCGATCGATAGTATTCGAAATGTAGTCAAGTTTAGACGAACACTATATTGGTAAGTGTTCGGTGACAATGTTTAGTTGTTCTACAAGTAAACATACTATTATAAAAATTCCCCAACTAATCTAACAACCGCCGTATTAGAAAACAGTGAAATATGGGAAGAAATTATCATTTAATCTTATATAGGTTTCCCATAAAGACCACTGAGAATTTGATTATTACAATTCATCATCATCAAAGTAGAGCCTTATACATGTGTACACCCAGCCTAAGTTGACAAACAACATTAACGCAAAGAAACTAAGTTAACAATATGAGTGACAAAGAAACCGGAAGTAATAGCCGAATAGATAAAAATTGAACAAATGAAACAGGGAATTCGGTTCGTAAAGGAGGTATGTATGAAGATGAATTGAAACTCAAGATTTGAAGACAAGACTCAGACTAAAAGTCAATGACTTCACGGACTAATAGTATATTCTCGTCTACTTTTCCACACTACATGTTAAAACAATACATCAGAAAAAATTAGAATATAATATAAGTAGGATTAATTGGAATCAGAAGTTAGAAATGACACAAGGGAATAATTTACTAAAACGACACAGAACTTACCAAATAATATTACTTGGAACAGGTGCAAAATCAACAGACCACATATGACTCTTCAACACTGAACTAGTACTAGTTCTAGACATTATAGACATAATTAAACGTCGACAAGTGTTGCGATATTCCTTACATACACTAAAGTGTTAGAAAAGCAGCATTTATAGAATGTAATAGATGAAATAGATTCAATGAAAAAATTAATTAATAATCTAAATAGTTGAAATCATGAGTCAATTGAAGCTAGACCACCATGGAAAACCTGGAAGCACTGGACGGCTGTTTCGTCCTAGTATGGGACTCCTCAGCATTGCGCATCCACGATCCAGCCTCCCCCCGCGAGATTCCAACCCAGAACATATCAGTGGTCTAACAGTTAGGAGCTAACGCGAGAGACTGGGTTCGAACCTCGCGGGGGATTGTAGGTGCGCACTGCTGAGGAGTCCCATACTAAGACGAATGGTCATCCAGTGCTTCTAGGTTTTCCATGGTGGTCTAGCTTTAATTGACTCATGATTTCAACTATTGAAATGACTAAAATCTCCACAAAACCCTTTCTGATAATTAATAATCACTAATAATTCATTTATTTATAAATAAACTTACTAAGCTGCAGCATATTTGGTTGAGAAGGTTATAAATGCAATACCAATTGGTTTTTTAATTGTTGTTTCATATTGTTTTTCAATTTCTTTTTGTAAATACATTTTTTTATTTGTATAATAATTAATTGCATCAGTAGGTGGTGGACATGAACAACAAAGGCATAGTTTACATTTTTTATAATTTATTTTAGGTGAAGAAGGAGAAGAGGAAGATGATGAAGATAATTCATTGTTAACAGTTTCAGATGTTGGCATAGTATCAATATTATTTATATGATTATCACTATTATTGGAAATATAATTTGGTGAAGAATTTATTTGATTATTAGTATTCCAACAACAACTACGACAACAATTATTTTCATAACATTTTTTATACATCCAACCACAACAACATGGTATAATAAATGGACGTTTACGTTTACGTTCACAACTTTCTTCAGAGTAACGTAGAGCAGCTCTTACAGTATCTCTTTAGAAAGAGAGAGAATCAAATTAATTTATGATGGTTATAATAGTAATAATGATAATTAACAATGCAATTGATAGATGAGTGATCTCTTAACAAAGTACAGTCAAATGTATATTAATGAATAATCTGGGAAAAAATAAATTCAAGTTGTGGGAATCAGTCAACCAAGTTGGTATATGAAGACTAACTGATATCATGAACTACTCAAAACTTTGAAACACTAGGTATTCGTTTCATTCTAGTATGTGTGTATGTGTGCTTTCACAAACATGAATTGGAAACGGGGACCTCCGGTCTCGCGTGTGCATATCTAACCACTTGACCAGTGATCTGGGGTTCGATGATGTACAAGTTCAACTTTGATCATCCTATGAAACTGAGTGACTATCTTTCATAGATTTGTTGGGTAACTTCCTCACACTCGACACAGATGAACCCCACTAATTACATTTTACGAGAACGATTCCACACTTTCTTCCCAAATCATACTGATTATGCTCAATATTTTCTATTGCCACTGATACTACTACTACCACTATTACTCCGGCAACTATTTTGATAATTCCATTTTATTGTGACAACGTGAATCGATTTGCAAATGTGTTAAGCTCTACAATGTTTATGACTGATTGACTGGATGGAAGTTGAAAACAACTCACCACAAATATTAATCAATTCAGTTGGTTGAAGTGACAGAATAGCATTTATTCCCTAGGAACTTCATTTTTATTTTATTTCCTTCAAAGGTTTGAAGTAAACATCTAACAATCCTACTTAAAGAAGAGAGATCTTAAAAGAATGATATTTCAAAATAATTAGCGTGTAGGTTCAATCTCAAGATAAGAAGCCGAGTATTCTATCTGATTACACTAATCATCAACGGTAAATGATTCTAAAAAAATTTATATAACAGATACTGGTGTTTTTACTCCCTTTTTAAACTTTTTACTAAGATTTCAAATACATTTAGTTTCCAGTACATTTTTTAACATATAATCAAGTCGAGTGAAGTGTATTAGACAAAAAAAACATTAGACTAAAGAGATAAATACAACAAATTTCATACATACATCATTCTACAACATTATGTTATTCCTTTTCAATTACAATTTTTATGTCTTAGACACTTCTGTTTATAGTGATTAATAACCCCAGGCTAAACCTACACGATAACATGATCATAAGAAAAAGCGCATGGAGTGCGAAAAAGAATGCCTTACTTTAAAGTTAGTTTATGTACAGAAAAATGAGGGTAATTATAGAGTTACACACAAACTTGAGCTACTAGAAATTTTTATAAACATATAAAATATGATAGCAGTATAGGTAAATATCTAATCAAAAACGGGACTCTTCACTTTCTGAATTTTTTTTTGTGATGCATTTATTCCAAGCATTACCTAGGCCCTTGCAAACTTTTCCTAGGAATACTTTGGAACTCCTCAACATGTTTTGATAGTTGAATAGTATTACTAACCAATTATACACAAATTGTGGCTCATAACTGAGTATACTTATTGGTACTTGGTGAATTGTAACAATTGTATGTGTAATTAATAGTTCTGTTATTAATAGTTTCCTCTTTTGTTTTTACTTATTCACCTGTCAATATTCAATTTACAACACTTGACAAAAAATTATTGTTTTTCCAAAAGTAATATGATTTGGAAAAAAAAGAAAAAAACTAATCATATAAAACAACGCCACAAAATTAGTGACAAAAAAAACTAGTTTTTCACACGCCATAAATGCCAATAGCACTTATCAAGACAATCACTATCTATATATACAGAAAACCGTAAGATTAAAATATTCATAAAAATGAGTGTTCAGGTTCCCAGGTGTCATGATATAATGATTCACGGCTTTTAACTATTCGATAAATATATATGCAAACATAGAAACACAGCCTGTAAATATTACTGATAAAATGATACACATACATATTGATGAGCATTCAGGAGTTATGTGCCAGTTAGATTGAGTCCCATATCAGTAGGTGTAGAATTCTATAATTGTGATTTATGTCAGATAATTGTAACACAACGAATGATGATGATGTTGGATTTGATGACCAGAAATTGATCGCAGTGAAGAGAAAAATATTCAGTTGTGTATCATTCCCTTCATCGACTGAATTTATTTTTTATAAATTATATTTCATGTTTAGTCATTTGGTTCAATGAATATTGTTATTGCCTCTCTTCTAATTATCGTGTTGTTGATCCACCTGTCTTCCTTTCATATAGTGATTTTGTGAAAGGTGATAATATGAACGAATAACTAGTTAGATCACTTGAAATGATTTCGATTGATCTACATTATGACCGCTATCAATTAGATGTCCCAGGCAACTTAACCAACGAATGATTGAACATCTATCAGCATGGTTTATGAGGGGCCAGATAAAAAAATACGCAGTTCTATCTTGACACATCTAATCAATAATTAGTTGTCCATATTCTGACAAAAACAGCTCCTGTAAACTATTAACTCATATTAGATTCAGAACTATCGACTATGGTAATAAACGATATATCGGGCAATAAATTTAGTGAATTGACTTGAATATAAGATACTGTATGTATGTGATAGTCTATACATAGTTTGATAAAAACATAATAAGATAGCGCTACATTGTCAATATATTATTCAATATATTCAACTCATTCACCAAGTACAGGACTTGTATACTAGACAGTCAGTCATAGTTTATGTGTGATGGGTAATGATACTATCTGGTCGTTCATATCGAATATCCTAACCATTGAATTACTGCTCCACAGATTTATTTAATTCAAACTAATATACTAATGGCAAATGACATATATACATAGCCGAAAAGAAGTACATGAAGAGAACAATAACAAACAACCTAGAGAGAATAAAAATAAAAACGTACTTCTGATTTTCAAGTTTTATCAGTTTTCGAGTATCATAACAAATTTGTACATCTTCAACAGGACATTCAGGATAAAGTTCTCTGTGTTGTTGTCGTTATTGTTGTTGAAAAAAAAATACAAAAAAGTAAGGTAGGGAAAAGACGACCAAGATCATTTTTCGAAAACGATATAAAAAAAGATCATTAAATCACTTAGACAAACAGTCGGTGATAAAATATAAAAATGATAATGTATTCCGAATATGATTTCGTTTCTTTTTTTTTTCATTCTTCAAAAACACAAAATTGGACACGTTTTTCATGTTCATTTAAACAAAGGAATGAAGAAATATACATAAATTATTATTATTTTATTATATTTTTATTGGAAACTTGTAATTTTAACATCGAAGTATCTGAAAGAATTCTACGAAAAAAAATCTGGTTCAGAATCAGTTTTCTTCAATGTCTAAATTTATCAAGAGAGATCAAGTAGTTGAGTGAATTGATCATTTCATTTATTTTTGGAAGTCTTATGGGCTGGATGAGCTAGTGTTTGAAGAAATCACGGTAGGATTCAGAAAGTTGGAATTATGACTTCAGATTAATCAATATCAGAAATTCATAAATCAGAATCCGGAATTCAATTTACCTACGCCAAGTGTGCTACTATTTTGCCTATAGGCTAGGGTTCCAAGCGTTGACTAGAAAAATAAGCCTTGGATCGAAACCGAGATAATCTCTATCATGACTGGCCTGTTGATAAGAACGCCTTCTATCCCCAGTCTTTAATTCGAAGAAATCACAGCAGAGAAGCTTCCGTTATCATGTTTTAGGCGCCCAGTATATTTATCTCGAACACTTATTAGCTTAGATACATAATAATTAAGACTAACGCACTTCATATAGGAGTCCTTGAGAGGACATTTGTATGGGGTAACAGATTCATTGAAGATGGTATTTCGACGTATAAGCTTATTGAATCATCATTTCTACTATTCCTAAACAAGCGAAGAACGACAGTATTACCTAAATAATGTCGTTATTGAACGCGAATAACCCTTGAGAGATAACGGATGAACCACACATATAGCCGTCGAAAATCACAGCTTGAAAAAATCGTAGACAAATTACGAGTCAGTGTAATGTGTATACTCTAAAATATCCGAATACCACTATGTACAAAGCCTGTATTAGACTGAAGGATATGAATCGATCGGTTGTAAAACTGATAGCAGTGTCTATTTTATTTTATTAAAAAAAGAATTTTTGACAATTCCCTTTTTTACATTACTCAAAATGGGTGAAGAGTTACGTTGAACAGATGGCTTGCTTCGCTCTCTTGTTACTGATGATTCTGAAATCAGTTGGACAATCATCAAATTTCCAGCTTAGAGTTACATATATCTATTTCGACTTTCGAACAGCTAATTCCCAGATTCAAACATCCCTATACATACGTCGCTTTAAGCAACTGAGTAGGAGATTAATAGCCTTCACAATTATAGTGTGATTTATAACCAAGTAACTGGTAAATGAGGTAGTATAATTTCATTATACTAACGAACAACAATTTTTCAACAGTATTCATCAACTACCAACAGTAATGAATGAATGGACGTCTTGATACATTACGTGGTATGACGCGTTAGAATTAGGCTTGTTGTCTCTAATGCTCCTCTTTAATTGCTTGTTTGCTTCAGAGCATTCAGCTTGTGTCTTGACTTTCTCCGCTCTTATTTGGTTGTTGTTAATCGCTATCTTCATGCTCTTCTTTTCTTGCATCCTGTCTTAAGCTTTGCTTAAGATTCATTCCGTATGATGATGCTTGCTGCGGTCCAGAACCTCCTGACATGTTGAAGTTAATGCTTCTGTGATCCCCTTCCAGTCTTCCTTGTAGAGGCTAATATCTTCTATATATGACTCCAATAAATAGTATCCCGTTAACTGAGTATTTGAATCAGGCAAAATATCCTAGTGAAATTATGGATTTACTCAAGATTATTCAAAAGCTTGAACATCAATTACATAGATAATTTAATGTGAAAGACTTTGGTGTTTAAATCTCTCATCAGGATTATCACGTCCTTTACTAAGCACTTCGTTATAATCGATTGCAGCATTTCGTAGCACTAATCTTTATCGTCATCATTACTATCATTGTTGGATGCATAACACTGGATAATATTCACTGTGATTCCATCCTCCTTTGTTCTCAATGATGCTTTGATGATTCTCGGTCCATGAGATTCCCATCCTATAGATGCATGGCATGCTTATTGGACAGCATTAGAGCAACTCCCTGAGTGTGTTGAACATTTTCCCCTTCGTGAACGGAGTACAGCAGCGTTTCTCTCGTACTTAACCTTTGCTATCCAGCTTGGGTCCAATGGGATTCGCTGATTCCGAGAACAATCAAGTTGTATCTCATCTCCATTGTTATTTGACTGGTCCTGACAGTTTCCCACATTGTCGGGACGTTCCATGTACCTATAAAAATTGATGATCTGGTTGTTAGAACGAGTATCGGCCTCGTGACTTCCGAAGAATATCTGCTTTCACCATGAGGCGTCATAATTGTTTTGAAGGAACATCCTTCAACTCGGAGGACAGAGTTTAAATACTTCAATCTGTTTATTCTGGTCAGCGTTTTTTAGGCAATGTTGTTTTCTACAGGATAAGGTTGCTGACCCCACGCCCAACCCTCCTCCTTTATCCTGTTTTGGAACCGGTAGTAGTTTTAGAAGAGCTACAGGGGGAATTATATATAGTATTATGTCAAATCCACTTGGGTTATACAAGCTTCTGCACAGACCGATTTATTCATTTTTTCATGGCACATTTCGACCTTAATTGATCGCTTATTAACACTGACTGTTTTTATATGTGTGCATTGCTTATTGTACTCATCACATGTCTGTAGCTTATTTTTATGTCACTATAAATATCGAGTCACACTTTATCAAAACGTGTTGACTCACTCGCCTTCTCCGCTCCGCTTCCCGTTTCTTATTCTGAATGCCTATCTCGATAGATGAGTGACTGAAATAAATTCATTCAACGCAACTCATATTTGGCTTCTTATTACAGCTGTCACATAAACGTAGTTAGCCTAGGTAATATATGGAGTTACATGGAAGAATTATGTTCATAGCATCATCGTACGATCGAAACGGAGTTAGAGATACAGTCCACAAAATATATATGACAATAACGGAAAAACTATTACTTACGCAAAATGCCTTAAAATGAGTGCTCGTGAACAATTCGTACGTGATATCCCAGAAATCATCAATGTTTTTTCTGACTATGAAAATGAAAAAAATACATATAGTCGTTTTACATACAAGTTTGTAAGTGAAAGAAAATCATGGATTATGTAAACAGACAATAAAACCTAAAAGAAATTATGTGAAGTGCCACCTGGAATCTAAAGATATCACTAATAATTACATTTTAAAAAACATGGTTTCAAGTGCATTGATAAAACGTTGTTTACAAACGTTACTGTTTCCCTATTGTTTATAATCAATACTATATGGCTTAGCTGATATATATATATATATATATATATATATATATATATATATATATATATATGCAAACTGAACGGACAGCTTGAAATTATAATTTCATTACAATTTTCTTCATATATTCAAAATCCAAGATAAGCATTTTATCCTACTTAGAACTTTTCAGCTAAATACATGTTGAATAAATGGATGTCTGACTGGTTTCACTTGTCTAGTAGGTAACACATTGAGAAGTAAAGGGTTCGAGTCTGGGAACTAACATTAATACAAGGAATGAAAGTGTACTTAGCTAAGTTTTAAATTGGGTGGAAGGTGAGTCCCAAATTTCCTTGCTAGCCACAATCTTAATATATTTGTAAATTGATGTGTATAACATATGATTATAATTTCAGCTTAAACTTTGTTATAAATCTAAGAAAATGCTTTGCATGCAATGTGGAATGATATTCAATGCGGAATTCAAATGTAATTTATCATAAAGATATATATTTGGAAAGTAAGAGAAAATAAATAAAACTCAACCATCTTATTAATTGCTACTCCCTGTAATAATTACAGTCAAGATTGTATAGAATTACCTAATGTGCTGTTGAAGGGAGATGAAAATTCTATGGAAGAACAACTGAATACTCATAAATAGCTTAAAAGATCCAGGATACAGATTTCAATAAAAATTTAATTTCTGTTATATTTTATGGGAACTCCTGAGAAAAAATAACAATACTTTCCAATATCTAAATATACATAGACTTCGGCTAAGAACGTTTGTCTTACTTACTGTTACTGTCGATTACTCAGAAGATTATGGGGATCCCTAATCAAAAGTGTAAATCTCAAGCACTAATCTGATTATAAACATACCACCGTATTAACTATGTGCCTTATGTTAAACTTTTAACTACGCTCGAGGCTCAGTCCACCTATTTCAGTTTGAGCAACCGACTAGTATATCATTAGTCTTCATACTTAGAGTACAGCTTATGTACAAGTACCTGGAAAAAGAGTTAGGTTAATTTGCTTAATTTATAATGTACCTTGTGTAAAACTATGTAAATTAATTAACTTTCATTTCAATAAATCGATTATAAGTTCCAATGTCAAAAAAGAAATATTCAAAAGGTAATTAGTTTAGTGAAGTGGAAATGATTTGATAGGAAAACAAATATGATCCCCTTCACCATCTATTACTGAAAAATGATAAAGATCAACAAGACAACTCACAAAATTCGGTGTTCGAGTCGACTCTCGACGAAATTGCCTCGAGAAATGTTGCATTAGAAAAAATGCCAATAGAAAAAATCCAATGCCAAATATTGTATGCACCCATAGACTAGATGAATTAGACGATATATTTGATATGGTCGTAACACCGAATTTTTGTAAGTCAGGAGCTAAAATTTTTGTTTTTCGAAATTAATAACAAAAATTATATATATTGTACGTTCATACTACTTATTTGAAAGGGTAATAGAACTAAGAAATAACACTAGGTTTTATACTGATTGATAGAATTCAATTCAGTGCTAAGGATAAAAATAAGTTTAACATTGATTCCTACTTAATCGTTGATCAATGTAGATAAATCAGTCCTGCTAGAGATCTGATCATGACCCAAATATCTCAGTGACAACGTTACAAACTGTGAAGTTAGGTGGGTTCAACTCTTACAGTGGAAATCAGTTACTCAGATACTCCTTTCTGACAAGTACCAAGTAATACGACACCAAAGTAAAGCAGGATTTCCTGATGAATACCTTCAATCAACTAAAATCAGGTCATGTGTGTCACAAATTGGCATTATTTACGTCAATATTCTTGGTATCAATTTAATATAGACTTTGTTCAATTTGACAAGTGTGAACTTTCATTCAATGTGACAATTATATTCCCTATATTAATTCAGTGTTTTGGAGTAATTATATGTATTTTCCCTTGTATGTGATATTGTTATGTGTAAGAATTAGTCATATAAATGAGTATATTTTGGTCCAAGGACGATGTAAATTTGGGATTTGTTTGGGGACGTGTCTTCGGAGAGACAATTAATCTTCATTATAGCAGACATTTGTGTCTTTACTTTGTGTCATAGGAATTCGAGTGGTTCTTGAATAGTTAAGTATGAACAGTAAGACCGTGGACTCAACAGAGTAGATATGTACATTACAATAACACACCTGAGTATATAAACAGAGGTGAAACGCCAGACATAATACAAATGAACTAAAATTTACAAACAACTGACCAATCAAAAAAGAATAATATGAATTCACTAATTATTTCACGATTATTAATTCAGGATGAACACATAAAAAAGGTTCGATTACATAGTCAATTATTAACAGAAATGCTAATAATATACACATTTTTAATGTACTTAGTTTGCTCATCCAGTCGATCCACCCTCCCAAAAAAACAACTATTATCTCAATATTGAAACGAATATTTTATTGCTTAGTGTGCTTTCTACGTGAAACTCACAAGAAATGAAATCGAGGAAATTACCGATTATGATAAGTGATAATTAACACTTGTTATCGTTTCTTATGGATAATTTATGCCCTCCGAAGCCCCAAAATACCTTGATACGACCGAGGGTGGGGAAAGTCACATCTAGCTTTCGAAATGTTCTCATAAAGCCACGCGTATACAGCCACTGTCAGGGAAATCCTACTTAACACCTTCAAGCGGTGAGGATTTTGTTTATGAAAGTGAGAGGAAGAAAACCGGATGCTTTAACTGGGTTGGCAGATACGGACAATTTACCTAAGGGAGTTGGAAAACGTCAATTTCAAACCAATGGTGTACCTGGGTTCCAGGATTCTGAGGGAACATTTGAAGTACAAACCTATTGTTGGTCACCGGACACCATGGGATTGCATCTCCTAAAGTTGCTCCACTGCCTTGTGGATTAGACCTCTAGATCAAAGGCTCAGGGAGTGACTCCCTAAGAAGACAACCTGCTTCGGTTTTGGCGCCCACATAGTATTCCGGCCCTCACACAAATTGAATGATTTTTGCGGTGCATATATATTCGTTCCCTCCATGTACCAATGTTTGTGTTTAAATAAAACAATAAATAGAACACTAGTATTTTCTTTTCTTACTGTCACTACAATAGCTTCCATATAGCCTCTGGGCTAACGGTGATTATAGAAACATTACAATGCCAGCGAGTTATTCTACTTTCTGATTTATAACACCAAACATCCACTGAATAAAGCACTTATACATATGATAACGGTAATAATAATGACTTAATCAGCAGATCAGAAGTGCCCTGAAGGTCAGTAAATGGATTGATTTCCCAAGGGGTAGAGTTGTGTACATATATATTGTATCTTATTCGACAGCGCAACACTTTTTCGCCCACTTTTGTGTTCACGCTTAAGTAATCAGTTGGGAGGTTAGCGCAAAGCACGTAGTGTATCAGTATCAGATTTCGCATGCCGCCTATCACAACAGTTATCAGAAATAGTATTACTATTATTATCGTTAATAATACTATCAGAAATAGTATAGTGATATACTTAGCCGTAGAAATAATAATAGAACAGTGAACATGTGCAAAAATAAGTTTGATAAAACAGAAGGTTGTTTAATTCTCCAGAATCATGAAACTGGAGTGACCACCCACAACAAACAGTCAATTATGAATACATATCACACACCAGTACAGACAGATATAAAGAAAGACAAAAACAGAGTTAGATAGCGTGTCATTATTCAATACTTCAAGTCGCCGTAACGAACGAAAGGACAAACTGAAGACGATAAAAAGCAAAATCACAAAAAAACTAAATATAGAAAGAAATATAATCAGAAAATGAAAAGTACAATCAGTCGACGTAAGCATGAAGTAATATTAAAGATAAAGAATGAATGAATACATCTGTCTCATATCAACCAATAACATTGCACAATCTCTCAGTAAAGCAAACTACCCATGTTCTGTGCATATGAAGGCTGCGTTTCACAGTAATAAATTAATAAATAGCCAAATTCTATGTCGCATACTCCCTCCATTTTACATGCGCATCACGAATACTTTTCTGAACAACAGTTGACTAAGGTTGATAGAGCTAAGTCGATTTTTCTGTGTCCATGAAGAGAGTGAGTTAATTAAAAATTAAAAGTCTGATGAAATAACCAGAAGAGGTGAATTAATATGAAAAACAACTTGGAGGCGTATTACTGACAGGTTCAGTATTTTAACTGATCTTTTCTTCCTGATGAATACCATCTCTGTTAAATATTATTCAGCATTAATTTTCATAAAATTACAATTCCACTAATGATTTCATGCTTTTCGAGTCATTATGTACTGAAGACACGCTTAAAAGAGTACAATAAGTAAACCAAATATTAGTAGGGTGGTGTACGCCATTTATGTTGACAGATATAAGTAATATGTAACACCGATCACAAGTGGAATGCATGACAACAGAAGATTGAGTAGGTCGAACTGCAGAGGACAGAAATGTAAAAAAAGAGTAATTGTAAAAACAACAACACTGAAAGAACGATAAATATTGTACAAAACAATTGATGGAAGATGTGCGAATCAAGTATTTAATGTATGGTTTTCATATTTTGCGAAGACACTGTAATTTTGCATTAAATAATAAACTGTTCTTCCCGAAATGAGTGTTCATGCATTACTGTAGTAGTAATTCACAGAAGTCCACTTCACTTATAAAACTATCATAAGGATGAATAAAGTAGATCAAAAACCACATAGATATATTATAATATCAAATAAAATTTTGAGTGCTTACATTTTAGTGTACCATGTATATTTACTGGAAGTATAACAACCAAACAGAAAACTGTAGTGATAGCTGTATAAATAATTAAATAGAAATGAAATCTAAGATATTGAACAGCATCATTTCCTGCTTTTAATTGTAAATCTGCTGATCTGTAGAAGATTAATACAAAAAAAAGAACAAAACAATAAAAAACTCTGGAATTATGATTCAGCTAAACAGTTTTATGAAAACTTTGTATAAGCTGAAAGTATAGTGTCCATATATCAGCTACAAATCTTCTCCACCATCTATTCGTTTATTTATATATTGTTCTAATTTTCACAATGGAAATTTTTAATATTTGAAATATATATATATATATATATATATATATATATATATATATATATAAAACAGATTAAAAAGTAACTAATTAGAGGAGGGGTAGAAAGGAGCCCATTTCAAGTAATAAAAAAGCTATCATGTGTTAATCAGTAGTGTATGTTATAGCTAACAGTATAAAAACGATGTGTCATTTTTTTAATAGTCAATTTAAAAGAGAGTATATTCACTCTCTATACTATATGTTATAGATCCATAAAATCAGATAATGTTGTATTATCATAAGAATAAGTATATGATTAAGTAAACTGAAATGTTGGAAAATCAATAATGATTTATTATCAGTGTAATATTTGTTTGTTTTATTATACATTTTCTATTATTTTATATGCATTTTAAGGGGGGGGGGAATGTAAAGTGTACATCAGTTTACACTTTACTGTAATAATGTCTTGAGTATAACAAAATTTTAATGATCAATTTTATATATGTTTAATATCGATCAAACTTATAGTAGTGATATTATTTATAATGATCGGATCTAACTTTTATAAGTACCATAAACTAGTAAAATGAGCGTTTATACTCAAAAGAAATTTGTAAGACATTTATTTGAACTAATGTTGAAACATCTGTCTAGGAGAAATTATGTTCAAAATGCATGCAATCGGGTATTATATGAATACAAACAAGGTGATACTTTATATTATTATTACTCTTATATAAAAGCAAGATGTATTTAACATCCTCTCAGTTTGTCCAACAAAGACCATATAGGCAATCTAGCATAAATGTGTGTTGGTGGAAGTTACTACATATTAAACTAGCTCGACATCTGAAATCAGGGGAATGAAATTATAACATTGACTACAATAACTGAGATGAACATAAAAATATACAGTGCAAGAGTAAGAAATATAATCAAAGGAAGAAAAGTATAGTGTCCCAGTAAGTAGAAAAATTTATAAGATAAAGAATAAATAAACAGATCTCAGTGTGATCGAATTTGAAGTATGTCGATAAAAATACATCAAACATAGATTGCAATCACTACACAACCAGAAAGTTTACATCGATCTATCAATGACCTTATTAACTAATATTATACTTTGTTTTGTCTGTGACTAGCATCCTGCATGTCAAGTAGATATATATGTGAAGATTTTGATAAATTAGAAATACTTTTTATTACAAATTTTGATTAGCTGAACGATTGTGTTATACGCATCGTTAGTTAAATAGATCTGAAATTTCAGACTTTGTGACCGGCCTGAAGCAGTATTCCCTTGAGGACTATAGTTATACCTTCGGATAGTCAGGATCACTCGTAAATCAGTTTCTGTTTTAGGTACCTCAGGAAGTATCGTCCCGTGGTGCAGGTGACTGGGAAGTAACAACCACTTTCATATCTCTTACGTCATTTGTTCCCATACATTATCTCAATAGTATTGTTACCATAGTGATACATCAAGGGGATAGAAGGTCAGTTTCGTGCAGACTGATCGGTTTACACTACAGAAAGACCTAGTCCCATCTGGTTTTAGACGATTCTAGTGCTGATGACTACAGTTCGTGATGAGAATTACCATGAAGCAATCTATTCATATTTACTTAACAATATAATCATTATAACACAACGAATACACCAGTTTGAGGAAAAAATAATATAAAATTAATATCATTAAATTGTTGAATAAAATAACACTACGTTAGTTTAGTTTAGTGTTCGTATACTAAACAGAATATATATATATATATATATATATATATATATATATATATATATATATATATATATATATATATATATATATATATATGATTATTAACGATAAATGTTTAGTTAAACTTAAAATAATTTCTTGATCAGACTTATTAATGATCAAACGATCACAATACATGGATATATATTTCAAAAAACATAAATCCATTTAATTAACCTACGCAACACAACTTTGTACACATTTAGCCAGATACTTTTTCTAGGATGATTGATTGATCACAAGTTCTGGTCACCTACGCCAAAACAAGTAAGATGAAATTATGAATCAATCAGTTGAGTGAATGAATCTGTTGTACTACATATTGTTTTTTTTGGTTTACTTTAACAACCTAGTAGAATGCTAATCTAACTTTTCAGATGACATTTAAGATTGTTAATGAAGAGTCGAGAATAATCATTCTTATGGTCGTTATTCATGAATTCAATCGAAAAGCATTCATATAACCACTCACTATTCATGTAAAATAACAGTAATTGTTAAAATACAATACATGCATAGAAAAAATTTATTCAGAAATACTGTGAAAAAAATGGTGTAAAAAACAACCAATAAATCAGAATTGAATCACATATAACAAAATAAATAATAATTATTATTATTTTACTTTGTCATATGATCAGTCAGTTAGTCATAAGTAACGCAAAGCCTAATATATATTTGTATAGGTAGTGTGTTAGTTGAGAGCGTTGGCCACTTGGAGGTGCCAGACAAAATCTCTGCAGGAATTCAGGAAACCCGGTCAGCTTTTTCATCGTGCATTACTCGTGACGTAGACAAAACAACCATCTGTCAACAAAGGGGTGAAAACATTGCACAAAAGTTCACTTTGTGTTGATCTACGGCTATGAAACACGGTTCATGGAGACAGAAGTTATGAATTAGCGAGTTTCTGATCATAAGTCACTTCGAAGCATACATTGAGCATTGCAGAATGACTGAGTAAACATTCTTTAAGTTATGGATAAGGTAATATGAAAAGATATCAAACTGGTTGTTGAGACTGTGAATCTCCACCGACTGAGGTAGTTGGAATGTGTTATGTATAACCAATAACCACCTACCTGAATGTGCAATGCTGAATGGAACTGGGGAGGTTAAAAATATTATTTGTACAAAATTATTGTCATCATTACATAAGAAACAGTTTTTGTTAATTTTATTATCCTAACTATAAAAAATAGCTAGATGACACAAAGATTTCAGCAACAGCGTTTCTCACTATGAAACTATCTGACACTGTTTCTAATTTTATGAGGAAGACCAATTTCATTGGGATTGCAAGTATACCTTGAGAAGAGTGTCATTCATTATGCAATATGGATACGGAGCTTTCTGTCACGTTCAACCACTGGAACTCAAAATAATTGATACAATTATTTAGTCAGTTATGTGTAGAGTAGAACATGAGACATATATACATCAGTTCAACTTGCCATACTATATTATCACAGTGATATTAAATTATCAACACAAACCCAAGAATAGTACAAGTCGTAATAGCATCAGTAATAATAGAAAAGATTAGATGCAAACAGAAGAGGAAAATAAAGAGATTTCAGAACTCAGGATCTAAGGAAAGGCAAAGAGTGAACCTGAAGTATTGTGAACAAATAATGACCTCATTTATAGGCATGAAAATCAACTTATGACAACTGATATATCATTAATTAACAGATTTACAGAAGAATATATAAGAAAATCATTGAAGGAATCGATATATATATATATATATATATATATATATATATATATATGCACACAACATTTAAGTAACTCACGTTAACTTGAAATAACTAACAATCCATGAAAAATAGCCCTACAATGAAAGATAGAAAGGAATGAAAACTAAGTAGTAAAAAAGTGTGAAACCAATTCTGTACTTATTAACGTTTGACAGTAATTAGAACACAAAAGCTTACAGGATCATTAGTAGATAGATTTTGTTCTACACTATCAATGGAAGCATTGTCAGTACTGACATTTTCATCGTTTATTTCTGAAAATAGAGTCCACCTAAAATAAAAAATAAATGAATAAGGCAGATTGAATGGAAAATTATTTTTTAGATTTAAGTGTTTTACTACTAGTATGTATTGAGTGAAATATAGTCTACGAAAGTTGAAAGCATGCGCATACGTAAGCTATAGATTTCGATAATCAATGCCTTAGAACTATTGGTCGCCTCGTATGGAACGACCGAGTTAGCAATATTAAGGTTAGGTATAGGATACTACGTAAATATGACCGATAAATTGATAAGGCTGTGAATCTTCAGCTGAAGTGGCTGAGACGTGTATCACACATGTCTGATCCCCGCCTACCTAAATGGGAGGATGTTAGATCATGTAGAAGTGAGCTGGAAGAACCTAGAGGTGGCTAAACCAAAAAAAACCAACCTACAAGGTCATTGACTGTTGGTCTGTCGTGTTAGTAAATAGAAATTACCTAGTTAAGGTTCGTGCGATAACCACGATTGATCCTTTGTGTGACATGGGTCAGAACAAGTCGTAGTAAATGGATTTACTCTTTATCTTACTATAGATCTTCAGTTACTGTATTTCATGATACATACACTTTGATTGTCCTCTCGAACCATATTCTCAATGTCTGGTCTTTCTCATTATCATTGCTATTAGATTGTCCCGATTCCTTTGATATTCGTGGTGCCAGTCTCATCCAATCGTATTAATGCGGACTAACGTAAATTTATGCGTTTTTAGGTTGATAATGACTGACTACAAACTGACATCAGTGAGAAAAGTATCAAAAACAAAATAACAACGAATGGCAGTGATTCTACTCAAGTTTAAAATTTTCTATTGATTACTAGTTTGAACCATGTATGAGTGGATAGTATGAACTTACTAGTTGAGATTACAGTGACCATTGTTATGCATGGTCAAAAACTATAGGGTTAAAATAAACCACAGTGAGACATTTGTATTTATTCTTTATCTTACTCTAAATTGTGATCAGTGATATTTCTAAACTTTGATTTCATTGGTACCTTATTTTCTGTATTTAACTTTCCATGACAACAGATACTGCTATTTCATCTTACTCACTTCTTATACTATTAATTTCCTTACTATGGCTGCTAATGTGGAGTGTCTAACGACTTGGAAACGCATATCAGTCAGTCAGTCAGTAACAACGTGGAACTTCGTACGTACGTACATCAGTTCGAGTTGCCATACCACATTAGCACAGAGATTCAGTTATCGATTCAAATCCCATAGTGGTAGAGGTAATGAAAGTATAAGTAGAGATAGGGGACATTAAGGTTTGATGATGTTATTAAAGGAGTATAGTCCAGTGGAATAAATTGGGAAAGAAAATAAGGGACGTGAAGAATTCAGAAGATTAGAGTTTGAGAGAACACAAAGAGTGGATGCACCTGCGCCATTGCAAACGATTTTGAGCCATGTCATTCAAGGTCTCTAACCATCGGTTGCTATCGTCTCGCGGTCCCCAACCAGGTAGTCTACACCTACCAACATGACTCAGTCCACTTGTCAGTGACTTCATGGATTTCTGCCATGTTTTGGTCTGGCCGCCCCTACCTTTCTTCCAACCTACTCCTACACCATAAAACATAGCACGTCGGGGCAGTCGGTGGTCAGGCATGCGCAACACATGTCCCAGCCATCTCAAATGATTGAGTTTCACTACTTCCTCAATTGATTTTCCATCCTTACCTAGTACCCGTTTCTTAACAACTGAGTTACTTACTCGGTGGTCCCAGGATATACGAGCAATGTTTCGAAGACATCTATGGTCAAATACTAGTAACCTACGAATATCTTCTACTCTTACTGGCCATGTTTCACTGCCATAAAGTAGAACGGAACGAATTGCTGCGCAGTAAACACGTTCTTTGGTTGATAGACGGATATCTCGCCTACGCCACAAATGACGCAAGTTGGCAAAAGCTAGTCGAGCCTTTTGTATCCGTGCTGAGATTTCGTCACACACCAAACCACAAGGGCTGATGAGACTTCCGAGATAAGTGAAGCGGTCGACACGCTCAACTACTTCACTCTCTATCACTAGTTCGGGTGTCGACGCAACCCAATCCTGAAGTAACATTTTGCATTTCGAGGGAGAGAATCGCATGCCGAACAGGCTTGCATTGTAGCTTAGAGTGGTCAACAGACTCTGCATTCTGTCAGGGTCTTCACCAAATAGAACTATGTCATCGGCATATTCTAAGTCAACAAGTGGATCTCCCGGTAGAAGTTCAACTCCTGGAAATTTAGATGAGGAAAGTGTCATCTCTAAAAGGACGTCAACGACAAAGTTAAACAAGAATGGAGAGAGTGGACAGCCCTGACGAACACCACTTGAGGTAATCAATTCTGATGACAGTTCAGCATAAGCTCTCACTCGACCAGTTGTGTTCGAGTAGAGAGCCTTTATAAGGTTGACGTACTTCTTTGGTACTCCCTTCAGTGACAAACATTGCCATAGAACCTTACGATCAACAGAGTCAAACGCCGCCTTAAGGTCGAGAAATACTACCATTGTGGGACGTCTGAATGTGTGTCTATGTTCTAGGACCTGACGTAATGTGAATATTTGATCAATACAACCACGTCCAGGTCGAAAACCAGCCTGGAAACGCATATACAATTTTTAAACATCCTATGTTTATATATATATATATATATATATATAATGACTTCAATTTTATTATGAATCAGTCACCGTTACTACAATACAAGTTAACTACTCAGAAGCAAAATCAAAGAAATTTTGTTGGTAAGAAAAACATGAAAAATTATCAATACAATTACTAAGTAAAGAACATTTTCTAGAACATTTTTATCTTTCGGATTAAAGTTAAAATGAATTGGCCGACTAACTAGATAACAAATATTTGGAAAAAGAATATTTATTATAAATTGATATCATTTAGAAACGTTAATTCATTGTTATAAAGAAGTAGGACATTTTATTAATTGCAACAATAATATAAAGTGGAAATCATCTTGTACAAACCTATTTTTCCTAGGTTGAAATGTAGCCATACGCCCATAGTCCCATGCAAGTTTTCTTAATAGTGTAAATCCGGACATTAAGACCTAGATTTGCCCTTAATGAAAATTTAAATGAGCGACATACCACCCAACCGATAACGTTAACACATAAATTGTATGGTATCCCCTCATAACCAGGTATAACTCTGCTTTTATTAGCATATGTATTAACACGATCACAAATAGGCGTAGATGACATCTTTGAAATTTAATCTAAAAATAGAAGTTTGACGGTGAAAAGACATATATGTAGCCTTATAATGAATAAGTATATGATGTAATTGATATTAATTAAACTATCAATTTATCTAAAGACAAAACTTGGTGTAAAATTAAACAATGACACAAGAATTAAAAATAGTCCATCCCTTCAATAAAATTTAAAATAACGTAATGAGAAGACAAAGATTCTATGAACCATGTGATCGGATTGACCGAAACATACTGAACCACCATACAACGGCATAATTCTGACAATCATTTTTCTCATGATCGTATTATCTAAGTGAGTAATGAGTCATACAGAAAAACTAAGTAACTAAAATGAGTGGACTTAGATAAGATGAGCAGTAGCAAAATTTAGTACAAAACGTTATCCGCTAGGTAATAGTACAATTTATTAGTCGCAATACACCTAGATACTTTTAATTCAAGTCACCATACAAATATGCAAGTCAAAGAAATATGATCGAATAAGACGCTTAAAGCTCATTATGAATCCACAACAAAATTCAGCGGCTACGCGACACCCACATGACAAAGATATATGTTAATCTCGTGTCTAGTACAATATAAGATAAAACAAAATGATCAATATAATCAAAAATAGTTAGATGAGTAAAAATAAGTGACTGAAAGTCAGTTAGTCACAACGCAGGACCTGGTACGTATGTACATCGGTCCAAGTTGGCATACCCTATTAGCAGAGATGTCGTAGATGGAATTGTCAGACCAAATCCCAAAATAGAAAAGGTAGTAACAATATCAGTTGTGATCGAAAAGATTAAGCATCAAAGATATGATTCAAGAAAATATGAATTAGCGAAACGTAAACACAAAAAAGTTTTGAGTAATTCAGAGGCCCAGAATTAGGAAGACAAATAATGGATTCAACTACTTCAGCGCTAACGAAAGTATTACATAGTGGGAGAAATAATTCATTTTAAAAAAGTACAACCAGAGTCGATTAATTGAAAGAGGTTCCTCTCGCTTTTATAAAGAATGTAAAAAGAAATTATAGCGAGATTTCCACTGAATTCTATTCTGTCAATGTCTTAAACTACAAAGTCTTAATATCTCTAGGACCTCAACTAAGGGGTCATGATGTATTGACAGATACAAGTAATACACAGCTTTCCTAGATATCTCTAGACAAAAAGTACACGATATGAAAGTGGTTGCAATGACATTTGCAAAACATGTCCAGACCACCTAAGCCTATACTTCAAGATGATGACACCAAGTGAGTTGTCGTCACTGTGCCCAAACATACACTGTTAAATCGCCATATTACTAATAGTGTTGGGACTGAACAGTATTTCTTTAGAATGATGATCAGACAGAGTTTTTGAACATTATCAACTCGGAGACGCTGTTTCACAAGCGTCGAATAAATTATTTTCACTGACACCTTGTAGGCTCAGATTTTCATAGCTAGACCAACATCATGAAAGCACCAGAAATGGCCGAGACTGACATGGCTGCCCTGGGTTTCACTATACGTAAATTGGTCTCATCACGTACGCCACCACCAGCACACATAACTATCCAAATACGCGAACCTTATTACTATTTGAACACAAATATTGGTACAAGAGGGCACCAAATATATATGTGCCACACAAAACAATGAGAATTTCAAGAGGAAAAAAAAGGTAAAGGGCGTAAAAAAGAACAATAACGAACAGATTAGTGTAAGGTAGTGTAATAATAATAATAATAATGGGGGAAACGGAAGGGTACGATTAGAAGAAATCTTTCAGTTAAGGAAGTTGCAACCACTTTTTATGACGAAAGTAAAAGGTTACAGCAGGATCGCCACTGGCTTCTATTCTGAGCCATATCTGATAACGTCTCTAGCCACTGTGTCGTACCATCTCTAGGACCCCAGCCAGTGAGTTGTGAAGGACCAACAGAAGCCAATTCTGTAAATCTTGTTTTATACCACAACAACATGTCATACACTGACCACCTCTCCGATTTTTCCAACATGTCTCAGCGTTGGCAAATAATGCACGACGTGGAATTCTCTGGGACGACATTCGTAGAACATGTCCAAGCCACCGAAGTCGGTGTTTCAAGATGGTGACACCAATCGGATTATCGTCTGTGTCCGAACACACGATGCCGAACCTCTGCATTACTAACATGGTGTTGCCACTGAATGTCAGCAATCCTTCGGAGACAACGATGATCGAACACAGAGACGTATAACATCCTCAACTCGGAGAGGTCAGGTTTCACAAGCATAGAGCAAAACTGCTCTCACCGACGCGTTGTAGATCCGACCTTATACAGTCAGGCTAACATCACGAAGGCGCCAAAGATGGCCCAGATTGGCATGAGCCGCTCTGGCTTTCACTATACGTGAATCGATCTGATCACTCACGCCACTACAGCACTTATGCAGCTACCTAGATACACGAACTTCTCGACTACTTCTATCTGCTCACCATCCCGAGTGAATGCAGGATTAGAATCCTGCCAGTCTTGTAGGAGTACTTTGCACTTCGAAGGTACAAGTACATACCATACCTACGGACATTGATTGCCAATTGATTAAGTGCGGATCGCATGGCATGGGCATTGTCACACAGTAAGACAATATCATCCACATACTCAAGGTCGAGAAGTTTTTCTTCAGGCAACAGATCCACACCACCATTACTTACATCCATCAGAGCTGTTTCCAGAATGTCATCGATGGCAAAGTTGAAGAGGAATGGTGAGATTGGGCAACCCTGCCTAACCGCACTGCTTGAATAATGGCTCACCACTAAGAGTGAATATAGGAACAGGCTACTGTCAGTCTTGTAAGATTATTTCGCATTTAGAAGGTGCAGAGTACATATCATACCTACGGAAACTTCTCTCCAACTGATTAAGTGCAATTTGTATAGCTTGAGTATTAGAGCAAAGTGAAACAATATCATCCGCGTATTGAAGATCTGAAAATCTATCTTCAGGCAAAAGATCCACATCACCACTACCTACTTGCATCACAGCTACTCCCGAAATGATGACATTATGCAACCGTGCATAACAGCACTGCTGTGATTAAATAATGAAGTGAGGTAGTTGTATGCTCTCACATTGACCGTTTTTGCAAAAATAACATTTTAGATGCTAATGTACTTTTCAGACGCACTCTTCTTTAACATAGAATTCCAGAGCACGGCCGTAATCAACGGATTGAAGATGGTTATGATATTAAGAAGCAGCGATGGCTGGTCTGAATTACGTACGGCCGTATTCTAACATTTGTTGGAGAGTGAAGATATTATCAATACATTCACAATCGGAACGAAAGCCAGCCTCATTGAGAGTAATTCTTCCACGGGTTTCGAGTGGTTTACAAAGGATGATGCAAAGCAATAGTTTGAACGCAATCGGAAGTAGACATATCACTCAGTGACCGTTGAGTGGCTGTAAAAACTGTCTTAAGTTAAAATTCCCAAACTACTAACAAACTCCAAGTAGTATAAAAATGCCAGCAAAAGGTGATTTGAGAACCGGCCAGGTGTAAAGACTTACGTACAAAATCGAAGGGTAGTTAGGAAAACAATGAGTTATGTGTAGTTTAAATAAAGTCATTCGAGGCGAATATCAAACTGCTCACATTTAAATAACTAGTGCTAGATATGGATAAAATAGGTCATTAACAAAACAATCAGGATCATACTGTAATAAGTGTAAAAAAACTAATAAATCTAAAACTTAAGTTTGTTTTGTACTAACCGTTTAATAACATTTGTACATCATAAATATGTGAAATCAGGCAATGAATTTTTAGTTATTTCTTTTCGCTTAACTCTTACTTGTAAACCCTGAGCAATTATATACTGTTATTGCAACAATCCTAGTTAGAAAAAGTCCCTCGATTAGTTTCAGGGTAACAAAATTAAATGCGAACAGAATAATTGGAAAAGAGGAATATGTTTCTGTTACTCGATAAAGTAATAAACCATGAATGTATGACGTTACAACCTCCTGTTTGTAGTATTAGTACTCTAATAAAAATTCATAGCATCGGAAACAACAAGAAGTGATTGAGGTCAGATGGTTCAATGGTCATCGAAGCCTAAACTTCAACATATATGCACAAAGTTTGGATACTAATTAGGAAAAAATCTATATCTCGCCAAATAACTATTCTTATTTCTTCAAGTACTTTATACGTGGTTCATTACAGTCTTTTAGTGTATTGAGTAAAAAGCATCAATCACGACTCAAGTTTCATCACACCGAAAACGTGTTACACCGAACTTTAATGTCCTGACAAAATACTGGATTGAAAAAAAGCAAATATTGAGTTCGAACAAATAAACAAAGCTCTTGTCATCTTCATTTCCATGCGTTTAAAGAATGTTAAGGCCAGATGCAGGACTGGCACAAAACTCAACGAAGTTTGAGGGTTTCCAAAGACATAAAAAAGTAAGTCAAAACGTAAGGTGTCGTAACTAACTTTGAAAAATAAAATTTGTCTCGTTAACATTTACCGGTACTAAAAAAATGAAGGAAGTTCATCCATGGAAAACTGGGGTTATACAATCAAAACGCTTGTCAGGGGATATACTGAAGCAAACGTATGGAATCAAGCCGTTCCCTATTAAAACTATATAAAGTCGAACTTTCTCTGGCTGAGAGTGAAATATAAGGTTCGTAAAATAGGTGAGCAATTGAAAAAATATGATATCAGCTTGTTGTAACTGTGCATACAGACAAAAACCACAGGAAACAATTTTTCGGTTAAAAACATACACTTCAAAAAGTCACAAACAGGTTAGAATCAGTGCGAACGACAGTCTAAACATATGATCAAAAATCACTTACAATCAAATTTGCGCCCGACGTATCAAGCGTATTTTGCGCGCTTCTGCAATATCCAATATATTTGTCACTGGCTTGTATAAACTAATTGATTACTTTGTGCTTGCTGTTTGAACAATCTGATATGCAATAGTTCAGTCATTTAATTACTTTGATTCTAGTCATTATGATATTTGCTCATGGATTCCAATGTGTTGATCCAGATTTGTATAGTAAGGATAGAAGGCCTACAGCTTATGTTATTTATTTTCCAGTATGCTTCTATTGGTGTTTGGTCTTCTCTTGAATGAGTCAAGTTAAGGTTCAGACATCACTGCTTTGAGTAACAGTTTCCAAGAGTTGATGACTGTATGCCAGGGGTATTTTGTTCGTTCTTTGCTTTTCAACTCGCCTGATATATCTTCTGAGATGTCCCAATCTAGTGGATATAAAACGAGAAGATACGCTAGATCCAAAATCATTTTTCAGTATTCTGTGCACCAAATAAGTCCACCTCTTGATCTGCGATACGACAGAGCATCGAAGTCTAGCTGTTCAAGTCGCTATTTGTATGGTAATGCCCGGAGTTCTTTAGTTGCTAGGGGCAGCTATCCTCTATACTCTTTCTAGGTTATTCGAACCACTATTTAAATAGCGATTTGCAGCCTTAATGCAGTTTTCAAGCTTAGTTCTTACTAAGGTTGTGTATACTGAGGTAAACATGGTAGTATCTAATTTTGTGAGTGTCCATCGTATAGCTCATAGGGTTATAGACCACTTAGCTATAACATTCCGACAAAGGGCCGTGATAATAAAATCATGACTCAATGTCACCTCAGGATCTCTGTCAGACTAGACCACGGGTACAAGCACTTCCCCTATGGTATATCTATTTACCTTTATATTCCCGAAGTGCATGCAGGCACACTTGGCCGCGTCGATAGGCATCAGTCGCTCTTCAGACCACCTGACTGGAATATCTGAGTCTGTCAGAAGTGCTCACGCTTCTGCATCGCCTGTAATTTCCAACCAGATTTTTACACCGTCAGCATATAGTAACATTAGGGACTCAACTATATTTGGAAGATCATTTACATGCAGCATAAAATGTAAAGAACTTCAAGATTAACAAGCTGGATTCCGTAAGGACCAGTCATGCATAGACCAAATTGCTACACTACGGATCATCGTTGAACAATCAATTGAGTGGAACTCGTCACTATACATCAACTTCATTGATTATGAGAAGGCATTTGACAGTGTAGATAGGAGAACGTTATGGAAACTTCTTCGACGCTATGGAGTTCCTGAGATTGTCAACATTATCATCATACGACGAGCTAAAGTGCAAAGTGGTGCATGCAGGACAGATACATTCCATGTAGGGATCGGAGTCACACAAGGCTGTTTACTCTTCCCTTTCGTGTTTATTCTGATAGTCGACTGGACTATGAAGTCCTCGACATGTGAGGGAAAACACGGCATACGATGGACAGCTCAGAACCAATTAGAAGACTTGGACTTCGCAGATGACCTAGCCCTCCTATCGCAAACACACGATCAAATGCAGATAAAGGCAGTAAGTGTTGCGGCAGTCTCTGCAACACGGAGAACAGCAATTTGATCAAACTTCATGGCGAAACTTCGGAAGATGTAGAATCCTTCACATACCTGGAAAGCATCATCGATGAAAAAGGAGGATCAGATGCAGACGTAAAGGCGAGGGTTGGCAAAGCAGTGACCGCATTCCCTCAATTAAAAAAACATATGGAACTCAAAACAACTTTCAACCAATATCAAAGTCAGAATCTTCAATACGAACGTCAAGGCAGCTCTACTATACGGAATTGAAACTTGGAAAACTACTACAACCATCATTAAGAAGGTACAAGTATTTATCAATAGCTGTCTACGCAAGATACTCAACATCGATTGGCCGGATACCATTAGCAACAGTCTTCTGTGGGAGAGAACCAACCAGCTTCCAGCGGAAGAGGAAATTAGGAAAAGACGATGGAAATGGATAGGACATACATTGTGGAAATCATCAAACTGCATTACGAGGCAAGTCCTAACTTGGAATCCTGAAGGGAAGAGGAAAAGAGGAAGGCCAAAGAACACATTACGTCGGGAAATAGAAGCGGATATGAAAAGGATGAATAAGAACTGGAAAGAGCTAAAGAGGATTGCTTGGGACAGGGTTGGATGGAGAATGCTGATGAGTGGCTTATGCTCTTTCGCGAGGAGTAACAGGCGCAAGTAAGTAAGCAATAAAATGTGGAGGACCCAGAACAGCCTGAGGGCACTCCGCTACATACCGTTTCTATGACGGTCACTTGAAGTTTATTCGTATATCCGAGGTACTTTTCGTGCGTAGGATCTCTAATGTGCCGTAATAAGTTTAGTACAATTGTGGTTTTTAACAATTTGCAACGAAATATCATTGTTGCTGACCGTACTTCTAAGCTTACCCAGTTGCTGGGGCGTTTGTCACTGTCTCGGCAGCCTATATGGTTAAGGTGCTTTTCATGTACAGGAAAACCCCACCACCTCTATAGATTAGTCTGTCAGCCCTACTAGATAAAAATCAAGCAACTGAATCTCGCTGTCATACACTTCTAACGTTACGCATGTTTCTGAGATGGCAATGACGTCAGGGTTTTGTATGTCCACTACTGCTTTGAGACCCAACATTTTACTATGTAAGCTGCGAGCATTTGTATCGCACACCATTTGTTTTGTGAAGAATTTTCCCTTACCACCCAAAGTGGTTTGAGGATCGTTTCACTCTGAAATTTTACAATGTGAATCCTTTAAGTATAAGGTTGTTTTCACCGTTCTGGTGGTGCTCACTTATTTTTACCTGTGTCGATCCTCTTGACGGTTGCATTCAGATCCAAAGCTGCACTCACGATAACTCCCGTTGCTTTTTTCGTGCCTTATGGTAACCCTCGCGTTATTAATAGAAGAAAGCAGACTCGTAAGGAAATAGGTCTTTATTTTTATCTTCGCGCAGTCACAGTGGAGCGTGGGGTTCTTTACTCAGACAAACAAAACCTCTCAACAAGCAATATAAGATAAATAGAAATATAACGCCTAAACAAAATAAAGAAGTGAATAAATATCTGAACTATGCTGTTTTGATATATGCTTAGTTGCTTGAGATTAACTCTTGACAACCGACCTAAGCTGTTACATTAGCTTCCCCCTAGAATCGACTTCCGTAGGAACGTCGGTTCGATAACCTATTTATCAAAAGCACTTAAGTTCTGTTTCCGCAGTCCAAGGGAGGATTATCAACTCGCTCACTATGACTTCAAATCAATGACAACTCCATCGATCCGTGGATGTCTTTTCATTTGCCATTTTATTTTGTAGCATGCAATTTTTACTACACTATAGCTGTCGGTTTGCAACGTGCTCACAAGAGAAAGAGTTTGAGAAAATGGAACAAGAATGTCTGAGGAAGTGCCGCGAGCGGGCTACCCAACACCATGTTGGTGAGGTACGACTTTTCCATGCTCTGTCCGGCTATCAGGTGTTTACTCACCTGCCTCTTGAGTCGCCCTCAAGTAAAAAGTAAAGAAGAGTCTACTGCAAAGGTAATGATGAAAATCAACAAAACCTGAAGAACTGCTCCACTGCCTGCATAAAATAATAAGGTACAAAATGTAAATACATAAATATAGTTGATAATTATTCGGTTTCACGTGTTTTGCTTCGAGAAAAGATTGCTCGTCTGGAAGGAAATAGAAATAGTGTAGACATCTTGTGTACGAAAGAAGTGAATAAATATCTGAACTATGCTGTTTTGATATATGCTTAGTTGCTTGAGATTAACTCTTGACAACCGACCTAAGCTGTTACACTTTCTCATAAACAGAAAACTGTTCATCCGCTGCAGGCCGTTTGTCTGAGAGCCCCTTCTTAGTTATGCTTAGCAGCTCAATCATCTCAAAAATCATCAGAGACTATTTAGAACAGCAGAAGAATGATGATATTACTCAGTAAATCTTCAGCATTCATGTTGCATGTGACATATGCCCAATTGTCATTTGACCTTTCAGTCTGTTGTAAATAGTTGATGTAAATTCTGTGCATGCTTCATAAATCTAATCTTCGCATTCCTCACACCGCGCAGTGTGAGTCTAATAAGCATGATAATATATAAATTATTAGGCAAATTTTATTAAACGTTTACGATTAAAAATAAAACAATTTTCACAACACTTGTAAAATAGAGGAACACGGGTAGTATAAAAAGTTGAAGTACACTAGAACAAGCCTTGGCTTGAAGACCGTAAAAACCGAATTGTAAGCTGAAGTAAAACTTCAGCTAACTATAACCTTAGATAAAACTCAAAAAGAAAAGTAATCTGCTAGACATCCAGCCCAAGACAGATTCTTTAAATCAGAAATCATACTGTTGTTGCACAAGGATACAGAAAACGTCTGGGAAATGCATTATATCCCGTTTGTAAAGCGCGAGTTCTCATCGTCTGATAAGTAGTCTAATAAAAAGTCTTATCATTTGATCTAGGCGTCACAGTAAACTCCGAAAATATATCATTTTTATGGTACAACTTATTTCGTATTGTAGATGACGTTTCTTGACATCCATCATTTTTAAATTTCAGTTAAAACCAATGCAACAGGTTTTGACACTATAGTTCATACGTCTCTAAACAATAATTTTGAAAGGACTTAAACGTGGTGAACAACCTTCTCATCCAAGTAATCGAGCAATCACCAACTACTCTGGACAAATATTTTGCCAGAATGGAATGGATAAAGATTTAGAAGAATAGGGGCGCACCTGTGTATCCTGTCAAAAATCTAAGATTATCAAATATAAGTAAAGTAAACAACTTTCTTCTGTAACTCGCGTGGTACGCCACTTCCACATTTATCTCGATTAGACAGTGCTTGTACCATAATTAACTGGATCCGTTCATCATTTGAAATTATTGTCAGAAGTCATATCAGTTGCAGAAACCGTTGCCCATGACTTTGTGGGACGGCAGATTTAAGCTTTCGTATTACATCAAATATAACAATCAACCATGGACGCCAATTTGAATATTCCTCTCCGTGATTAAATTTAAGAGACACAATATGATAACGAGATATCACCTGTCAACCATAGGACTGTCAGGTCCCGATAAGCATAATGAATGGTAACTTTGGGGTCCATTTATGGACCAATACTATGCGTATATTTTTATCGTATAATTATTAAATAACTATACTATACATATTCATGTTTCTCTTATTATGAGTTTTTTTGACATATGGACTATTATTATGCGATTTACCGTTCTTGAATTATGCCCTGTCTATTAATCACTACCTCCCATATTCACAGCCACATTTGGCCAAACCTTGTACAAGTGTTGTTTCCTATTTTATGGTACGTTGTGGTCTGTTTGATTGGTATATAAACCCAGTATGTTTGAAATAAATGATTCATATTGCAGAGGCGGAGACTGGTGTTCTTCATTTAACCGGCTTGGCTAGGTGGAAGCAGGACCATTCAGGACTCTAGGCTTCTCGTACGTGTTTACGCGTCCTTGGTTCGATTGATAATTCAATGTTCTCTGATTGGCGGTATCATTACGTTATCCATTAACAGGGCACTTAGGCCACAAGTTATAACAAGGACAAAAATTGTAATACAGTGAGTGCGTTGAATCGAAGTTTTCTTGAATCTCAACGTCCAGGAGAGATTGTGGAACCCCACAACTTACCTTTGCCAACATTTATTGGTATGAACTATTTTGCTGGAACACATAAGAAACGCTAAAAAACCGAACCATACTTTAATTAACTACTTAATGTGATTTAGACATTAGACCCATTGTAACGACCGAACTACCAGTATTTGGTTTGAACGCAGGACTGACGAATGTAAACGTATTCGAATAGGTCAGACTACGATCTTCTGTATAGCTCACCAAGCGTTTTTGAGACACTCGTATTAAATTATATCAAAACACAAACTCTGTGCTCAATTTATACGGTTCTAATTTAAGAAATAGAACAAATTATATCAAAAATACAAAATACTTCAAACGGTACAGCCTGTGCTATACAGTCAGAAGTTTCTCTAACGCAAAGTAGTGCGCTAAACAATAAAAGAAACAGTCAATACCAAAGGATTTGATACCTGAGAATCAACAAATATATTCCCAACAAACGGGATCAAATATCTATCTGCAGGGATTCCCGAAATCCTCCCAAGCAGACAGTCAAAGGGTTAACAGTCACACTGAATCACGCCGTGACCTTGAGCTTAGTCAAACACGACTTCACTGTCAATAGTCCGGCAACATGCAATAAAAATTAGGTAACAAAAAGATAAGATTTAAATCAAAATCACATAATAAAAGCTGAAATAAGATCCGAACAAAAGTTAAAATATATGACAGGGAGAAAAAACAAATAAATGAAAATACTGTCCAACAAAAAAGACTGTGGAGGGATTTTCATAGTTCTCTTTTCGTTACACCCACTGTGCATACGAATGAGTTATTTTGACTGACCGCATCCTAATTTTTATCCACTTCTTCACTGACTGTTCACACAAACAGTCAATAACTGACGTATCGATTTGCACCATCTTTACAATATATTCACTCAGAAACATACATTAATTCACTATATTTCTCACATTTTTTTGATTATCAATAATAAAAGCCTTCCAAGTACAACTGGTATTTTGGCTGTTACATATTATGAAGGGAGTTCATGACAAGGCTTAGAAAATTAGACGGGGTTAATGACTTGGTAACGTTTGGAGTCGAATGGATGAAAGTAACTCCGATAACCATACTAATCTTCACTTAATACGTATGTACGCTTGAACTCAACTTCTGTCAACTGATGTTCTCATCTAACCTACTTCGTAATATTAAATGTAAGACTCAGACTTCGATTAATTTTATTCACTGTCCCGTTTGGGTCAAATATAAGAATGGCGAAGCTGTCGAATATTCACATTATTTAGTTGAAGTCATACCGTCTACTGACCATCAAGCCTTACCCACCCTAACGAGGTGGCCAGATTATCTCGTTACATTAAAACAATCTGAAGAATAAACTCGTTTTACCGGGAAACGATGTACAAAGATAGGAATGGAAATAAAAAAGTGATGCAGATTATTCAGTGAGGCTGTATTCTATGGCGCTCCCGGCCGATCTGTTTGATAAATCTTCTAAACGAACGCTAGATTCAGTTCCTAAGCGCTTCTATTAACCCCCAGGCTAAATATACACAGCAACTTGAACATGAGAGAAAAGGCGTGTAATGTGGAAAGAACGCTTTAAGTACAGAAAACCTATGTTGCTTATAGCATTTGAGATGGCCTTGGGCCTCCGGAAAGTTCTGGAACGCTACTAAACATATTAGTAGTATAGGTGATCATCCACTCAGAAACACGACATGTGACTTGTCACTTTCTAGATTTTTCTGACGCCTATTGGAATCTGATTGGATAATATTTTTCTCAAAGTTTTCAGAGCTATTTTTGGCTATTTTTCGAGGAGTTTTCTGGATCTCCTGGACACCTCTCCTGTTTGTTTGAAGATTCGACGTTTAGATCCTGAATATATATATATATATATATATATATGACATTATCCTTACCCACGAAATTGTGTTGGATCCTCATATCCCCAAGTTACAATTAATGTGACTTTATTTGAAACATATTTCTCTCATTGAATAGAGAATTCATTAGAAGTAACTAAATGGTGATGATAAATGACATTTGATTTGAGATTATCAGGGTTTGGTTCTTCTGAAACATTTTCTTCATATTCAGTAAGAATCCCATTAGTGGACTATGAATCACTAAGAAAATCAGCATCTATCAAGATTGCATTAGATTTATTATCATCGTTTGATCCATCTGACATATTTTTCTCATTTTTATAAGAAATTTCATCTAAATTATGTGAATCATTATGAGAACCCATATCTAATAAATTGACATGAAAAATCGCATAAGAAGTTGGTTCATCATTAGCTTCTGTCTTTCAATGACTTTGAGTTCCATTCGGTACAACTGTATTCATCGTACTACTCTAGTTATTTTCTGAATATGAGTCCCTTCATTTTTCTCTATTAATATCACATGAACCATGGCTCATGGTGTGGTGTGAGTTACTTTTATCCACACAAGTAGTATATGACGGTGGTCAGGCATAGAATGTATTTCAGTGAGAGCTCGATGAGGAAAGAACGGGAACGAAACTCCATTGGTATGAAAACACATGAACAATGGAATCTGATACAATAGATTGATGTTTGCAGCAGGAACAGTCAAGTTTGATATGATGGATTGATATTTTGCAAATTAACGATTTAATATATAGTTCTCAGGTTTTATTGAGATGCTCTGTAATTGTGTGTCTGAATACATTCGATTGTCAACACTGGTGTTCTTGTTCACAACAATGGCACATTCATTTAGGTCTATAGCTGTTTGCTCTAATTTGAACACTTTAAATATAATCTTTCAGATATATTTTGTATTTAACTTTTCATACCACCATTGTCCAATTAGGGTTATTTAAAGTATCATACATAAAACGAAATGTAGTATCTATTTTTTGTCTGAAGTTAACCACAGGCATCAAATATTAACGTCTTCGCATACTGTTATTGATGACAGCAATCACTCGTTGTAGTTTATGAAGGAATCCATAAGGTTCTAATGCACAATCTACTATAGGTTGTTGTACAATAGATTTTATATATAAATAAATATTCATGAATCAAGAACTAAACTCCACGTTAGTCTTTCATGTTTTTATTTTAGACAAAAATGTTTTCCTGTTCACAAGAACCCAAACAGAAAGGTTACCAAAAGTTTGAAGTTTAAATTCATTATCCTAAAGTGTATTGAATCAATTTTTATAGTACGGATCATGCTTTATAAATATTTTTAATTGTGATCAAGTATTTATGTTCAGGTAATTCAATTAGATAGATAGTATAATTCTATACTATGATAGGTACTTTGGTCACCTACACCAAATTTCAATTGGTTAACTGGCCCTCAAAAATAACTGGCTACAAATAATACTTCACATAAAATAAAAACAATAATTTTGTGCATTTATCAGATAATTTATTATTTTAAATGATATATTTACAATGTAATATAACTTTAATTTGGCTTATTCAAATGTATGTTCACAAAACTAAGTAATAACATAGTAACTGTGTTTTATAATGTGGATATCTATTCATTTTATAATATTACTAATTAATTATTTCTCTACGGTAAGTTAACTTAATTGTAAATTGTTAATAGAAATAGTTAAATTCATTTTTTAAAAAGAAAAGTGTTTTTCATCATTTGAAAGTTTCATCTTCAAATAAATACATTAAATTGTCATGTTAGTTTGTATGACATATTGAATAGTATCTGATAAATCATGAAGTACTGAAAACCTTTTATGATCTTTGTTGAAACTCTTCAATAGTGAATATCAGTAATTGCACATGAGACGATTATCAAGACATTTAAATTTTAAACTGGTAGACCTGACTTTATACTAGAGACAATTTATGAAAATGATAAGTTTGTATCATGGTCACTAACCAACTGTTGGGGATTCTCAAACTAGGCAGAAAAAAAAAACAGATCATATAAGCATCTGGAAACTTTTGTAGCGGTTAATAAATCTCAAAAATAAATAGTTCTGTAAGTCTTCGACATTGGATGCTGACCACATTAGTTTTAATGGACTCATCAAGCTGGAGACGATCGGTCATGCAACCGCACCAGATCACAAGTGGGAACGCCATGCTCAACTTCCCTTGAAATTGCTAACCAGTTTACATCAGTAGATTGATAGCCTATCACATATATCTTCGAACCTTCTCGCTTCTGACTTTTGATTTCACTGTAAGGGCACGATTTATAGTAGAAGGTGTTACTGGTTAAAATGTTGTCAAATTCCAAATATCTGTGGCATCTTCACCTTCAGTGATTCGTTAGTTATTGTTAAATTTTGATAAAAAACTAACCTTATTTTAATATCAATTTTTTTTTCTTGTCAATGTCAGGAAATACATACACATCAAACATGGTTTTAATAAAACGTTTGAAATTCTTGAAAAAAATTGTATACAGAATTAACATTGATAAACCATTGCTTGATCGATTCTCGAAACTGTAGATCATTCAATTTGATAAGTAGTTGAAATTCACGAAGTATTCGATTCAACCAGTAATCAATTAACATATTCATTATATTGTTAATGCTCGACTATGATTATGTATAAACATTCAATGATGTTCAGTGAACAAGTGTCTTTATCAAACATTAAATAACTACATACTTCAGTTATATAATGAAAAATGTACTTTGTACAACATCACAAGCATCCTAACTTTTTAGACTTTCGTTGAAAAATATGTAAATAAATATAAATTATGGACTAAATGATTTTGATGGAGTTTGTGCTGATGATGTCGTTCAGAAGAACGATGAAAGTTCCAGCTCAGAGAACAAAACTCCATCAAAATCATCCACCTGAGCTACAAATCTTCTCCACCATCTCGGACTAGATGATTATCTGTTACAAGAGAAAGTTTTCTTGAATGATGGTAAAGTAACGTTTTACAGTTCTTATTCTTCATAGATTAAACTTTCTTAAATAATAATGTCCATGAATTAGATTGTTAGCATGATTATATCCATTTATAAATTCGGCTACATAGTTGTAGTAAATAGTCTACTTTACCTTTAAAACACAAATAAAATCCTGGATGTGCACTACTGACGAGTTCCATACAAGGACGAAGTGGCCTTCCAGTGCTTCCAGGTTTTCAACAGTGATCTAATATCGATCACGTTTTATGATCTCAATCAAAAAACTTAACAATCTTCACAACCCCATATTAAAAATCCCTTAACACAATTTGATCTTATTTTGGACGAACAGATTACTTTTTTTATTATACATTTATATATTTAATAACTGGTTTGAAATGCCAATGTAAATTGAGATATGGAATTCAAGCATATTGTTTAAACTAATAAGGAAGTAGAATAAGCTTTACATGAACAAATATACCCATTTCTACAATATTGTAAATTATGTGAATTAGTTTTACTTCAGGATTTATATTATCTCATTAGTAGACATTTTCAAACATGAAATGAAAATCATTGTCAATTGATGTTGATAAAGAAATGGTATTCTGATGAAGTCATCAGAATATAAATATCCTAGTGAATGGAATATAGATAGGACTAGAGCTCAAGCACGTGAAGAAGAGCATTAGAGCAGTGGAAGACTAAATTCACGCTAGATTCACTCATTCATATAGTTAAATATGGGTGAGGAAAAACTCCGCTCTCGGGTGAGACTTTAATTTATGGACCGCCTTATAGAGACACCAAAGTGACTCTGAAAATGTCCACCTAATAACAGGACTAAATGAGGGTTATGAAGCATTGTGAGGAATTAGAATTATGATGGTTAGTGTTAGGAACTAGATTTGGGGTTTTTATCGCGAACTGACATAAGCTTATATGCCAAATGGTACTTATCTAAATGAAAGGATGAATCTCGCTCCAAAATCTCATATCTCATTGGTTCGTCCATAGGTTATAGTCTCGCTCCCTCTCCCCCTCAATTTTTTTCTTTGCACCTGGCAGCCAACTAAAATGAAGCGGAAATTATTATTTACAATGTTGTAATCCATGATGAAAGGAGTGTTTCGTTCTCTGTTCTTTATTAATGGGTTGCATAAAAATTTTACGGTTTTCTACGACGAACGTACCACTTCATCATGCTACGGACATGTCAAATGTAGCCCACTCACTCATAATTGAAAAAAAATTATAACAGCAAAAGTCACACCTCCAATTAATTCTATAATAGAAATCATTCCAAAATATCTATGATTGGGTAACCGAATAAATGAAAACATAACCGTAGTTACTGATTACGATACAGTCAGATGAATCAACGACGTAAAGTTTATTCCCAGCCTTAAATAGCACTTTTTAAAATCGAATTTGATGTTAATTTGTGATAAAAACCCTTACTCGAATTCCTTACCTTAACTTCCAACTGTAAATCCCAATCCTAATAGTTTGTCAACCTCTTTTGACCATAAACATCAGGTGGTCTCAAGATCAGTTTAGCGTCACTAAAGGTCTCACCTCAAATACTGTGAAGCTTGCATCCTTAACGCTCTGAATGTTACGATTATTTTTCGATTTGAGTGATTAAAAACTGGTTGCAGAATCTTTCAACGTCGAACATTCAATGTTTCTACTCATTGTGGCATTACATATATATTGTTTCAGTTACAAAAGGTCTAATGAATACTCAATTTGTATGAAGTTATTCAGCTAATTTTTAAATAAGTGAGTGAAACAAGATCGTAAAAACATAATTTTATGAAATTGACTGTACAACAATTTTAGTCCCTTTAAAATACTCCTCATTAGTAACAACACACCGGTTCCATTCTCATTTCCACTGTAGAAGTGCTCATAAGTTAAACTTTTTATCTTCCTTATTGTTAATGGTTTCTCTACGTATTTTTACAAGAATCTTGTGTAAAAATGATTACCTCGAAGTTTAGTTCATTAACAATAATCTTAACGGTAAACTAACAAACACAAAACACAACATACTGCATATGTTCAACGCTTACATTAACACCGAAAGCTGAAAATTGTCTTATCTTTCTATCATCCATACAATCTTCACCGTTCTACCTAAAACTCTTGTAGAGAGCTGTTTTATTCATACCATCAACTCAAGACTTCTAGAGTTTCTTAAAAGCTTCACCCTAACTTCACCAAAAATCTTAGTAGATCAGTTCACATAGTGATGAACACACTGTAGCCATCTATGCTTGTAACTTGTAGTCATCCTTTTTTTTTTAAAAAATATGTGTAAAGATCTTAATGATTATATTTCAATCGCTGGAAAATCCTCATTATATTAAAAGATAATATGGACGAAGAATAGTCTGTTCAATCAATTTCTCGTTAGGTTCTACAATTCATAAATCCAAATGAATAATCCATAAATTTGACCAGATTTAAGTCAGAGTACGTCATTTAAAATTGTAACATGTGAATCAAGAATTGTTGTTTGTCATACAAAATCAAGTCAAATCGTTAATGTTGGGGCTGACTAATATAGAACATCTACCAATATAACTTGCTCCACAGGAGCAGTATCTATCAACTCAACTGCTCCTGTGGAGCAAGTTATATTAGCAGATGTTCTAGGAATTTGTATATTCAAGCTCGTGAACACCTCTCAGTGTGGTTAAGCAAAGGTGTAGTCAAAACGGTTAACAGCTCCATTTTAGACCATTTAGTTCAGACGGGACATACAGCTAACATGGAGCAATATGTCACAGTAATATATTGTTTTAACAGCAGTCTGCTTAATTCTGTCAGACTGAGAATCTAGCAGACGGCTGAAGCAATTGCTATTCGGATCGAAAAGTCAAAACTTTGCATCCAAAAGAAATATGTCCAGTCGCTCCTTTTACCCTGACCAACTTTGGAGTCAACTAGTTAATATGGCGACGTAATTTGATTAATGTTCATTTTTATGTCCCAAACTTATTATTATCTTTATCATTATTATTATTACGCTTGATAACCTTTTTGAGAAATTTATTCAGCATCCACCCCTATCTACTATATCTGACCTAATTCATATTATTCTATATATCACATAATTTCCGATTTTTATTCCATTATTTTCTCACTCCCTCTCACCCCATGTTGACCATATTTATTTTGATCATATATCTCACTAATTCATTTCACTTATAAACTGATTAAAGTCCCACAATAGGACGAAACGGCCATCCAGTGCTTTTAGGTTTTCCATGGTGATCTAGTTTCGATTGACTCATGATCTCAACAATTGAAATTTCTAAAAATCTCCACAAAATCCCTTCTGATACTTCATATTAGTCAGATCCAACATTAACAATTTAATATGACAAACAACAATCCTGGATTCACATATTACAATTTCCAAATGATGTACCCTGCCTTAAATCTGGTCAATTTTATGAATTATTCATTTATATCTAGGAATTATAGAACCTAATGAGAAATTCATTGAAAAGACTATTCTTCATTCATATGAACTGTGTTTTATTATATTTCAAACTATAAGGTAATCTATGTTAATGATTTAAGGGTATTAAAATTTTTTATGTTTTATTCATCTTCCTATATTTTTTTCAGGTTGTTTTGTTTTTTCATACACATAGTTCCTTT